TGAACATGGTATGCAGGTTTGAGTCTCTGCTTCTCTTCAGACTGCAGGCCTTAAGTAGTGCTGCTCTCTATCTGTGTCTCTAAGTCCCAGCAACATCAGCAGCAGAACCACCCTTCCCACCCTGCAGAGCTGGTGCCCATGGCTGAGACAGGTCACCCCTTCCTACCCTGCAGAGCTGGTGCCCATGGCTGAGGCAGGTCCCTCCTTCCCACCCTGCAGAGCTGGTGCCCATGGCTGAGGCAGGTCCCTCCTTCCTACCCTGCAGAGCCGGTGCCCATGGCTGAGGCAGGTCCCTCCTTCCTACCCTGCAGAGCTGGTGTCCATGGCTGAGACAGGTCGCCCCTTCCCACCCTGCAGAGCCGGTGCCCATGGCTGAGGCAGGTCCCTCCTTCCTACCCTGCAGAGCTGGTGCCCATGGCTGAGGCAGGTCCCTCCTTCCTACCCTGCAGAGCTGGTGCCCATGGCTGAGGCAGGTCCCTCCTTCCTACCCTGCAGAGCTGGTGCCCATGGCTGAGGCAGGTCCCTCCTTCCTACCCTGCAGAGCTGGTGCCCATGGCTGAGGCAGGTCCCTGATGGGCTTTTTGTGAGTTTCATCTTGGGTAACCTTCTGAACATCTCAACATCGACTGTGCTTATTTAAGAAACATTTGTACAGACATTAGAAGCAAATAAAATCTCAGGGTGCTTGGACCTAGCTAAGCTGCTGCCAACATCAGGTGCCTGCACAGATAACGAAGCCAGGCTGCAAGCAGGGTCATCCAGCATTGGTCATGGAGTTCATTTTCTTGGACTGGTGACACAAAGTAGGTGACAGGTATACAGTCCCTTCAGCTCCATGATGCCACTGAGTCCTCTTTATAAAGGGGAAGTGTGGGTGGCAGCTACTAATATGGAGCTGCAATGTCTAACCTGGTGCTTGGTGGCCCAAGAGTGGCTTCTTTTGACGTCAAGGCTCTGTCTTAGGCCTTATACAGTCAACATTTTGTGCCCTAAATGCTGACACCCTATAATTAAGAAGTGTGCAGAGAAGGTCTAAAATGTGAATATTAAAAAAGAAACTACTCAAAAAGAATCCTGAGAATTTTAAAATAAATGTTTAGAAATGAAGCTTGAAGCCCCCCCCCCCATTTAAGTGTTTTTGTGTATTGATTAGTTAACACACTAAAAAAGAGAAGAACTACACGGACAAGGATGGAAACAGAACAAAAATACCCAATGGCAAGTGGCACAGTAGGTTAATCCCAGTCGGTGGTTGTGCTGGCTGCTTTTCTGTCAACCTGACACAAGCTGGCATCATCAGAGAAGAGGGCCTCAACTGAGAAAACGCTTCCCTCACCCTGTCTGTAGGCAAGCCTGTGGGCAGTGGTTCTCAACCTTCCTAATGCTCCAACCCTTTAATAAAGTTCCTTAGTGGTGACCCTCCCCAAACATAAAATTATTTTTAGTGCTACTTCAGAACTGTAATGTTACTAGTTATGAATTGTAATGTAAATATTTGTGTTTTCCAATGGTCTCTGGTGATCCCTGTGAAAAGGCTGCTTGACACCCCCCACAAAAGGCCATGACCCATGGGCTGAGAACCACTGATGTAGGGCATTTTCTTAGTGATGGATGTGGGAGGGCTCAGCCCATTGTGGGTGATGCCTTCCCTGGGCTGGTAGGCCTAAGTGCTGTAAGAAAGCAGGCTGAGCAAGTCATGTGGTACAAACCAGTAAACAACACTCTCCTCCATGGCCTCTGCATCAGCTCTTGCCTCCAGGTTCCTGCCCTGCTTGAGTTCCTATCCTGGCTTCCTTCAGTGATGAACTACAATGCAGAAGTATAAGCCAAAAAAAAACCCTTCCCCTCCCATTTGCTTTTGGTCATGGTGTTTCATCACAACAACAGTAACCTTGACCACAACTGTGGTAGCTGGTACAAACGCATCACACAAACGCATCACATAAATGAGGTAAGCCAGTTCCATACTGTCAGGCTCAGGACACTGCTCTCCCATCCACTCCCCTGCAGACCCCTGTAAGACAACACAAAGATGAAGACACTACACAGAAGTAGGGCAGACTAATCCAGAACTGCTGAGACTGGAGTAGGCCCTCGAGAACAGGGACCCCTCTTGTCCTGGCTTCCACCAGCAGAACAGAGAAAGCCAGAGGCCAAAGCTACAAACAATGTGTCCCCATTTATGGGGAACCCACAAGGAAGAATTCACTATTTTCAAGAGAGTGGAGTAACGGAAGGAGGAGGGAGGGGAGGAGGGAGGGGAGGAGGGAGGGGCATATAGGAGCCTGGCACCCTGGCTGATCTTCTTCCACCGGCACAGAAACCTCACTTCTACGGTGATATCCAGCAAGTAGTAGCACACAGCATATTTCAAGTGACCCAAGCTGAGAGAAAACTCATGTTGACACTGTCACTTGCAATTATAATTTACATCCCACAGAGCTTTAGCAGACAGGCAGGGAAAGTGAGCGCTGAGAAATAAGGTGGGGGTGTGCATTTTGAGTAACTGAATCCCAGTGGAAAACTCAGGGCTTTGGGAATTCGTTTTAGAGGCATGTCCATCCACCTAGGAGAGAAGGCTCACAAATATGTCTTGACAGCTGAGTCCACACTCAGTTGTGCCTGTCTCACCTCTAACCTACAGACAGTGCCGTCTACACAAATGACAGAGGCCCACACAGGGCCACATTTCCATGTGCACACAAGTAGACAGTGAGACAACTCTGCATCTCCGACCTGCCAGGCGGATTTGGAGCAAGCGAGCCCTGCCCCTGGACTTATACTCCAAAGGGAGACAGTCAACAAACAGAAACCTAGCAATTCCCAGGAAAGGGACGTGTGTCTGATGGGGGCTGCTGGTTTTATTTGGCTCACAGAGGAAGCTACTGTGAACTTGGCCGTGCTTCCATGACAGCATGGCTCTAAAGCAATGCAGGAGAGACCAAACAGCCTGCCAGCTCTGGAAGGAAAACAGGTACCCAGACTGAAATGTGCTCCAGGTGCTCCTAAGATAAACGGTAGTGGGATGTCTGAGGATGGCACAGAGCGGGGAGGGGAGCACACAGACTGAAAGGAAGGCACTCAGTCCTGGAGAGTGCTGTGAGCCACAGTAAGAATGCAGATTTGATTTTGTTTCCAGAAGGTTTCAAACCACAGACTTATGTAAGGTCCAGCTGCTTCAGATGGATAGTTAAAGCATGGAATAAAGCGGGCTATCCAGAGGGGGAAAAACTGCTTAAAGGTGAATAAATACAGAGATAGCTGGACACCCAGCCTTGAGAGGCCACCAAGGGGGCCATGCTCTTAGTGACAGCAAGGCTGATAGTTTTATGCAGATGAGGACAGAGACTTCGACCTTGAGGATATGGAGACACCTTCCCCAGAGAGGTGTCTTCACAAATCACAGCTACTGTTTTCGCTGTATCCCCAGGCATTGTCACTAAGTCCAATGTTCATTTACATTTTCGTACATTTATGGAGTATTTGTGCAAGGTCAGCCTCAGCATCTTTGCTCGTGTGTGCTCAAACCGGAAGGACACTCAAGTGACCAGAAACTGCTCCGAAAACCTTCCAAATCTCCAGGACGCCATCTCGGCACCTGCACATGACAGACTCCTGCCCTTTGAGGGGATCTGTCTCTCTCTGACAGACTGCTCGTCCCTTCCTATCCAGAGCTCATGGCTTAGTGCAGTGTGAGCAGGAGCGAGCGCTCATGTGCGGCCAGTGCTTTGACTTGCTCTGTTAAGAACTGAAACTAGCCTAACAAAAGGCCCTCATCTTCAACAGAACTCCCATTTCCTTCCATTAGACCACTGCCTGCACTGAACAACAGCTGAGAAACCGTGATCTCCGAACTTGACGTAAACTCACCATGCTGCTTACAAATCCAGGTGAAATGGTGGCCGTCCCCAGTGGGCTCTGGGGACGTGCAGTTTTTTTGAAGTTACTTTGGTGATCAGACAGACTCTCAAATCATACTTTACAAAACAATGACAAGTTTAAAACAGCATAGTGTACAGTGACAGACCACTGGGAAAGTCAGCTTTGCTTGTGAGCCCTCCTTTCCCAGATGTGTCTCCATCACTGTCATGTGACCTGGACCTGCTTAGCTCAGTTCAGTTTAAACATTTTCAAAATCGCTGTGTTTCATTTTGCCATCTGCTCCATGTGCTCATGTGCAAGCTTGGGTCACTCAGGGCAGGAAGCTCTCTCCACATACACAACAGCTTATTGACACCAACACCACCTCCGTGAAGAAATCTCCTCCTCCACACAGTCCTTAGGAGCTGCTCTGCCTGCCTCACAGCTGCTGACCTCGGACATCTGAGATATGGAGGAGCTGATGTGATGTCAGAAGACCCATTTCAACAACTGTACCTGCACGGTTTGTGCTTCCTCCTTCATGAGTTTCTGATGAGCTAATGCCCACAGGACTAGAGGCTGCATCTCCACGTGGGTTCCTTTTACCACTGCAGATAAGCAGCTTCCTGGTAGTTTGGAAAACCCTAGATCACTTTCTCTAATACTTAACTCCATTGCTAGGCAGAGTTTTTAAAAAGAAAGGAAGACAGGTGACCACTTTGAGTCAAAGAACTGATTGTCCACTGAGGAGGAGGGGTTTGGGGGGAGCCATGATTCAAGATTGTTTGAAAAGAAAAATGAAATCAAGAATTAAAAATAGAATTACATTTCCGACTTGGCAACACAAACAACACTAAGTGCACCTTCATACATTTGACTATTGTTGCACTAAGTGATATCACCATAAATCACATTAGTAGCAGACTTGGCGTTTTGTTTTGGAGCAGAAAGGATAGAGAGTGTCAACACGGTCAAACAGCTCTGTTATCTGAAGAGAGGGGAGGAGACATTATCACAGGCTTTCCCAGGGTTAGAAGCTGCCGTAATGCCCTCACTGGGCTGTTCTTCTACCACCAGTGTCGGAACAGCAACACAGTGCCAGCAACACACCAAGGAAACGTTCACAGAGGCTTCCTTACCTGGTGTGCGAGGGGAGACGAGTGTCTGGCCCGCCTGTCATCACGGACAGGGAAGAGCGACTTCAGCAGCTTTGGCATCTGTGGCACCAGGGACTTCACGGGGTTCAAGTAAGAGGCTGCTAAGCCACCCAGTCCTGTCAACAACACAGAAAGGGCAGGACAAAATAAAAACGGGGACAGGTAACTTCTGCTCTCGCATTTGCCAAGTGTGGTTTGTAAGCAAATCTAGCAGTATAAACTGCTAAAGGCATCTTTAAAATTATTAGTAGAAAAAGAGGATCACAGTCGCCTCAACCAATGAACAGCAGTAACTAAGCCGCCCCCCCCGCCCTGGCCAAGATGCTCTAATGTACAGGGCTCCTGCCAGAGTTGGAGGGCGACCCACCCTCACTCCTTGTCAAGAGCTAACACAAGACTACCTTCTGCTCTAGAGGAAAGAGGACCAGATTTTGTTTGTTTAGTTTACTTAGTTTGCTAGCTTGTGGTGTTTTGAGGGTTGGTTTGTTTTTGAGACAGGGTCTCATTCCACTGTACACCAAGCTGGCTTGGACTCAAGAGATCCTCCCCCTCTGTCTCCCCAATACTGGGATTAAGGTGTGCGCCTCCACACCTGGCTATAAATCTTAAAAAGAACAGTTAGAATAACACTGTGACATTTACGAAATAAACAATAATCTAAACAATATCAAAATTTCCTTGAAAACTAGGACTTATGAAGGCAGTCTCATAAGGAATACAAAAGTCTAAAGTACTCAAGAAACCCAAGTCATAATTCAAAATCTTCTCCACAAAGAAAATGCCAGGCTCAGACAACTTCACTGGGCAATCCTGTCAAACTTCCAAGGAGTAAGCATTACCAATCGCACAGAAACCCACGCAGAAGGGATGAGAAGAACTGCTTCCCAAGTCATGGTGTGAGGCCAACACAATCATGACACCAAACCTAACACGTATGAGGAAGTAAAAGCTGAGTCATCGTGGAACACATATGTAAAAATCCCTAAGTATTAACAAACAAGCCAAGAGGGTCACAGGGCGATTTATCAGGGAAATGCAGGGTAAAGTCACCCTTCCAAACCAATGCCACCCAACATACTAAGACAAAGGTCACACTCTGACCACCAGGACAACCTGACGTAACCTTTTTTCTGAAAGATGCTTAAATTTCATGGCAGTGACTGGCAGATGAAGAAAACTTACCAGGATCGGGAGACTGGTTATTTTGGGGAGAAGCAGGGCGAGCTGAAGGCCCTGAAGCTATTCCGCTGGAAACTAGCGTTTGGGATACATCCTGTTGACTTTCCCACCGGCCCTGTTAAGCACAAGGACAAAAATAAGTCATTTTGTTTCAAACTAATAAGTTTACAAAAAAATCATACAATGTTCCAGAAAAAAACAATTAGCATTCCTAAAGCGATTCTCTCTAGGATGGAAATCTGATTGTGTCAGCCTCCTTCATGCTTACCACTTGCTTATGGGGCTAATCCCTTTGTGGTGAGTCTCCACTGCAGACTCCTCCCCACTTTACAACCTGTGGCTCCCAGCAAGCCCATCCCAACCTCCACTGCATCCTGCCACCTCCTCAACACTGCCTTAAGGGTGGACCGTAACTGCTCCTTAGAAAGAAATGCCCCTTAAATTCTGCCTTGGCTCTGTGGCTGGAGATGACATCTTCATTCCTATGTCACTACTGGAGCTCAGGAGTGGGTGGGGCCTCCTCTTCCCAGGGTTCTGGGAAGCAGCCTCTGGGCAGCATGGTATGGAGCCCCAAACTGTGAGCAGATCTCAGGTTCCTTCTGGCCCTGTGATAACAACTCACGTCTCTCTCACTGAGGTTAAATAGCAGTTTTACTATTACTTTAACCTCAAGTAAGCCGACAAATGACAAATGACAAATTAACTAGGGTATCCTGGGGACTGCTAAGAAGCAGAGCAGAAATGGGGAGTCTTCGGAGGCTCACGACGGACTGAAGGGGCAGCCCCACAGGTTCCTACATGGATTAGGAATCTATCTGCTTTTAGCAGCAACCTAAGGACTGATCATAAAATCAATAAGCCCTAAGTGATCTGGATCGTGTTCACTGCTGAGAACTCGCTCAGCACTTGATGGCATTAAAAAAAAAAAAAAAAAAAAAAAAAAAAGATGTTCTCTCTGGGCACTCATTAGGAAACAGAAAACAAAACAGACTCCAGGCACATGATCAGGGCAGTAAGAAAAACAGCCCCAGCTGTGTGCCTGCACACCTATAGATCGCAGGCTTACAGATTTTAATCTTCTGTTAATTTTTTATTTTTTAATTTTTTGCACTCTAACCTAATTATCCTTCTCAGGAGGCTGTCCGTTTTAGGTGCCCTGGGGTGTCGCGGTCGGGTGTCTCAATACTAAGATCAGTAGCTTCAGAAGGTCTCAGTGGAAGAGACACCATAAGCTCTGTTCATGTTGTCAAGTTCATACAATGCTGTTCTGAAGACAACTTTCTTCATTTCAGAGGAAACTGAGTCTAATATCTTAGGCTCTCTCGTCTGGCAGCTGACACGGCCACACTGTGTCCCTTAGGAAACCAAGCAGCTGATCTGCAGTCAGCTTCCGGGCTGTGACACAGCTGTCCAGTAACGACTGGGGGAGGCGTCACTTCCCCGAGGCTGGCACACGGTGCACAACGTCACCGCCGAGATGAGCAGCGGCAGTGGCTCTTCCTGCCTCACCCCCAGACTCTGGGTGTAAATAACTGACAAGTTCAGACAACAGCCAGACAGGGTACGCACAGCAGGCCTGTGACAGTGGCAGATAGAGACCATGGCACCCCAACACAGGTTCCTGTAGTCAGGGCAGACACCTCACTGCCCAGAGCCAGGATCCCAGCACCCTGGCAGATCAGGCTCTGCTTCCTAGGGACAGACCTGATAAGGAAGAGGTCGAGTCCCCACTTCTCTGCCAGCACCCAGAGCTACACAGAAACCCCCCACTATGTGGCTCTCCTCCCCCTGCACAGCTTACCAGAGATGAATGGAATATCCAGGGCGGGGCTGCCCATGGTTGTGTGGCCCCCTCCACCCCCCAGGGACAGGGCAAGTGCTGACTCTGCCTGGCTACGTCTCCTTTTCTGAAATGTTGGAGAAGAGAACAAAAACAAACCAAACAGAATCAGCCACCACTCAAATGTCCTTCAGAGGGAATGAACTTGGGACTGGGAAGAGAAGGGAGTTTTCTGGGCTCTCTCAAACAGCTCAGACCTAAAGGTGGAAAGGCAGGCACCTCCCTACTTTTGCCATAGCCATGTACACCTGGCACCGCCTGGCGCCTCCCAAGACTGGCTGCTCTATTCCTGCTGTTCTGCTCCTTTGGTGAACTTCAGAATCAGCCATGAAGATACTGGAGAAATGACCCTGGCTTCATTTGGATCCCCACACAGAGACTCTTTGTTCTAAGAGGCAGAACTCAAAAAACAAAACAAAACCCCTCAAGGTTTTGGGATGGGTCCCAGGCCCAGAGGCACAGCCAACCCAGCAGTCTCCGTGTCCACCTGTGGTCTTCCGGCCTGCCCCTGCTCCTCCACCAAATACAATTCCTTGGCTTTCTGTAAAAGACTCTGACTCTGATGAGGAAAATGACAAAGAAGTAAATAAAGAGATGCCATGTCATTTCCGGCCACCAGGCAGCTCTAATGTAGCTGAAGAGTGACTCATGCTTGGCATCTCTAGAACCAAAGCTGAGCTGATGGCAATTCCAGGAAGCTTTGTTAACTCCGTACGCTCAAGGTACCAGCTGCCTTGAACTTCATCAGAAACTCCTGAGGGCTGGGAATACGGCTCAGTGCAGAGCACTTCCCTGGCATGCATCAGGTCCCACAGTCAATCGCCAGGACCTCAAAAAGCACCACAAACAAAATCCACCTCAGAGGACAACACGCTGCCCTACTCAGTACAAAGGGGTCTCCTCTAAAACGGCCTTAGGAATGACAACAGGCTGTTGACAGCTGTCCTTGCAGCACAAAAGGTCTCAATGCACCGCCAGCTTTGCAGTACAGGGGCCAGTAGGAGCTGAAATTAATTCTGCAGAGAGATACCCAGTGGTCAGTGGTCATAAAGAATCCATTTTCAATACACCTATTAAAAATCTCTCTAGAACAGAGGCAAAGCATCCACTAACTGTAAACAGAAACACCACTTCAATATGGCCACATTTCATATTTTTAATTGGAAGACATCCCAAGAGTGATTTCCTTTAGGCTCTAAAGTGATAATCAAGATCTTTAATTAATTACTTTATCAATTCAATTTTGGTGAAGCAATTCTGATTTTACTATGTGAAGAGCTTCAGTGAATAAGAAATATTCAGTAAATAGGGGCAGGGTGTGCACGCACGCAAACACACACACACACACACACACACACACACACACACACACACACACACACACACACGAGCACTACTCCATTAGCTGAATTTTTCAGGGTCAGTCTTATCAGCCCCTTCCATCCCTACCTTCTTGATACTCTCATAGTTCCACGCTGCTCCCACAGATGGTTCTCTACTCTGATGATAAGAGACCAAAAACATGGGAAGGGAGACTGGAGCTGGCTGGTGGATGCTCTTCTTTGACAAACTGTAGTGCTCTGGTTAGCCTGTGATACCTGGGATTCCACACCTCACATTCTAACCTATTGTGCCGATCTACAGAATAACCTAGAGTGTTGATCTGTAGCATGGAGCTGAGAGCAACAAACGGATTAAGAGAAAACCAGAGCTGACCTCATACAAGGCTGATAGACATAACTAACATGAGTATAATTCTTGATGATTTCTAAATGCATTTTCTAGCATTTTTAGCATCACCAAGTCTGGGTTGAAATCTGTAGGACTCAACTCCTCCACTCCCTGGACATTAAATACTTCCTTGTAGAGAATCAAGATGGTCCATTTGTGTGAGGGTCTAGGGCCAAAAGAAGGTTTGGATTATTCCTGCCCAGGTGTCGGTGCATGTGTGTAGTACTTACCCACAGCACATGTCTGCAGTTTGTTTCCTCTGCACTGGGGTTAGGATGGCGCAGAGCTCACCCTAGTACCCATGCCACGTCACTGTGTGTAAGCACCGCTGTTGGTAACAGTTTGACAGGTCCTTTAACCTTCTGTCTATTAGTAAACACTGTCCAGCTTAAGGAATGCTCCTGTAAATGTTCATAACCCATTTTATGTAGACATAATGACACCGGTAACGATGTCCTTAATGGGCCGCAGGGTGGACCTTGTCCCTTACTTCTGGAGGAAGTATGGTTCTTTTCTCACTAGTGAGAAGGTATGACTTAAAACATATTTGGGAGTTAATAATCTTTACAGTGCTCTACTTTAGATCATACTCCTGTGGGGGCCCAACACAGGAAACTGAGGAGCTATTCTGTGACACGCCCCCATTCATGTTGGCTGGAATACTCTTGCCTGCTGCCATCTGTCTGTCCTGTCTACAGCCATCTGTGACAGAGCAGTTCTCCTCCTGACCCAGGGCCAAAGCAAAGCCAAAAGTGGTACTCAAGGGTGATTACAGCCAGGTTCATGGGAGGATGCAAAGGGTCTCCACCGTGGAACTGGCAGCCATGGAAACCAGGTTTCCTGATGCCACAGCACAGACAGAGATAGTTTACAGTCCTCAGTTCCAAGCCCCAGGCAGAAGCCACACCTCTCTGAGGTCTATAGGAAAGACTGAGGAGCCCAAATCACCAAGACAGAACCATCACATGAGCCAAATCTGAGCAGGTGGAAACAAGAGTGCCATTTTCTCCTAGTTATTCAGGAACCTCAAGAAATCCAGAACAAAAAAGGGAAGCTCCTAGGACAGCAACAGGAACACGTAATGTGCCTTCAACTCAAGCAATATAACACAGGTAGACTGCCAGAGGCTCCGTCTGCTCTCTCCCAATGCTCAGCAGAAACAGCAGGGAAAGGTGCAGTCACCCAGTATCATCCCAAGCAACCCTACTGGTCCTCATCCTAAATGCTGTCTCAGAAGAGTCTGGAAGGCTCCAACATGATCTGTCTGTCTGTCTGTCTATCTACCTACCTATCTATCTCCCTCTCTCCTTCTCTGTACACACATATACACACCGCCCACCACACAGCCTGCTTCTCAGTAATCTACTCTGTCACAAAGCCTGAATGGCACCTAGTCCCCTCCTGCCCCAGCCACTTCTTCCTATCGACAGGATCCTAGAATCCATCTCCTTGGTGTAATTGTCTCTTCCTATTCCTCCCCAAGGATAGCTCTTTTCCCTCCATAGTCTTTCCGATCCAAATAAGCTTCCCCCTTCTCACTGACAGCTATAGACAGCACTCCAGAGACTCTACACACCACAGCCAACAACAGGAAGGCTGGGGCTCAGACAGACCCCACAGTTAGACTGTCCAGTCCAAGCCTGACACCCCCACCCCTCTGCTCCACTGCTCCTCAGCATACAGTGACCCAGGATTTCCAAACAAGGCCCCTCCTCCCTGGCTCCACTCCACTCTGCTGTGGACAAGACTGTTCACCCTGTGCCTTCGGTCATGCAGCGACTTCTGCCCAAAATGCAGGCTCTGGCTCTGCACCTGCCTGTGTGCACCACGGGGTCACCACCTCACTGCAACTCTTGCAGGATGTCTGGAGAGCAGCATCTATGTCCCTTCGTCCTCTTTCGTGGTGCAGAGGAAGCATGGCCCTGCTCACTGATGCAGATGCTGCTGCTGGCTGTCACTATCTCCAGTTTAAGATAAGGAAAGCAAGAGAAGACAGAAAAGCAGAAATCCCAGCCACTGCTGACGAGGAACTTGTAACCGAGGCTTTGGGTTAGATGCACCGCCCCAAAACACACAAAGTCAGGGTTTTCTCTACTATACGTATTTCCCTTAATAGTTCTGTATTCACTCAAGTTTCTAAAAGCTCTGCTTCTTCCACTGGACTGACGCAAGTACTAAGGCACAGTCTGTCCAAGTCCATGTAAATCACCCACTAGCTGAGCATCCCCACCTGTCTGTGTGCACATGCACGTGTGTGACTGCAAGTGTGGGTGTTGTTACGGTTTCAGGCATGGTAACAGCATCCTCGTCTTTAAAATGAGTCTTAGTCATTAACTTCATCTTCATTGTTTCTTACACTTTCATAAAGAAAATATCCAACATGAGTGCAGAATAATTAACAGGAATAGAAATAGTCTTGTGAACACCATTTGGCCTTAATGATTACCGTCAACCAGTCACTCTTTATTTGCCCACACCCCTGCCCCCTGCCCCCCCCCCCCCCCCCCCAGTCATTCTGAAGCAACTCCCTCACATCATACTGCCACCATGACAAGGCAAGCTCCTGACCTACTCTATGGTCATCCTGTCCACACAGTACCAACACTTAGCCAGGCACCTCAGAGTGACAAGAACAAACTGTGAGGTTCACCCAGGTCAGGCAGCTACAAGGAGCACTGACCTTTTTAAGCAAACAACAGAGTTCTGTTTCAGGAAAACTGTTACTGGGATTTACACATTTTCTTTTTTCTAACAAATAACAAAAATTATAAATATGTTTCTTATTCCTTGTAAGTTCTCAATCATTATATCATAGTTTCACTACTAGAAATCCAATTTGTAGTTTTTTCTTCAGAAATAAAAGGAATATATATTACAAGCAGAAAGATAAACTTTAGCAAGACAAACTTTTTAATTCTCATAATAAGAGGGTGTTAGTGGATCTCAACTGCAGGATCAGAGAAACAAATGTGTAACTCTTTCCAATAAACACAGCATAGCTCAGATATAGTATAGGAAGAGTTCGGACAAAGCAGGTACAGAGGTGTGAGGAGATAAAAGAGGCAAGGAGCCAAGTGTAACTCACCTTGTTGCTGCCCAGACTGTGGGATGGGCTGAGCTCCTGCCGGCTCCCAGACAACTGTGCGGAGAGAACGGAGGATTAGTGCAAAAGCAGAGAACATCTAGAAAGTTCCTGCTCTGAAAATCAAATCAACCTGTGCCTAATAGCACCTGCCTGTGCCTGTAATCCCAGCTTTTGGGAAGCAGAGGCAGGAGGATTACAGTGAGTCTGAGGCCAGCCTGGTTCCAACTCAGTGGGAGACAAAATGAGACATAATCTCAACCAAACAAGCAAGCAAACAAAGCAAGATGGAGAAGAGAGAGGCTCTGAAGACCAAGACTGTAGACCAGTGTCTCTGAGATGTGAAAACCACTGAGCAATTCCCAGCAACTTCCCATGGTGGTTTACCTAGGCTCTAGAGGCTGCTATACACTGAGGTAACACCTCACTGGGCCTGAACAGAAGACATTTCGCCCCTTCTGTTTAATGCCACTGGATCTTGCCATGGCCTAAGCCTTTTGTCTAAGAAATAAACTATTCAGATTATAGTATCCCAAATACCAAGTCTCTGCAGATGCCAGTATGTTAATAACTTACGGAACTGACTTGGAACTAGTTATTTCTATATTTCTGAGAGTGGCGCTGTGGTAGTTAGACATGTCTCCTGCACGTCTGTACTGGCAGGCTCTCCAGTGGGAAACTTGTCCTTCCTGTCACTCGCAAACACTTACAGGTTTGAGGCAGCTGCTCTTTCCTACAAAGCTGAGCAGCTAAGGACAAAGTGCACCTACTCTTCATACCCACATCTTCATGAAAATAAGGAGCAGACAAAGAGCCACTGGTACATTTCTTTGTCAATAATTATCTCCATATTCAATATGCATATAAATTATACTTTTAGAGATTTATTTATTTATTTTATGTATATAAATGCTCTATTTGCATGTACGCCTACACACCAGAAGAGGACATCAGATCTCACTACAGATGGTTGTGAGTCATCATGTGGTTGCTGGGAATTGAACTCAGGACCTCTGGAAGAGCATCCAATGCTCTTAACCTCTGAGCCATCTCTCCAGCCTCATACCTTTTTCTTTTAATCACCAAATCTCAGCCACAGTTGTGAAACACACGTAACTTGTTTTACACATCCATTCTACCCTAAATGGCCTTCAAGCAACTGCTCTGCAAACATACTGCAAACTTTCTAGCTTAAAAATAACGAATTAAAGCCCAGAAAATGACTTCCATGCCCTGGCCAGGCAGCTAGCTGTATTTAGCTCCACACATAGTTGTGGCCTCCCAGCATGGGCTGGGCAGGTGGTGAGGACAAATGAGCACCGTGTGCCCATGGCACTCAAGCCAGCAAGCGTCCTGGCTCCAGTGGCAGGAACAGTGGCAGAGGGGGCAGAGATGTGACGAGGGAAGGGACAGGCACTTCAACCAGCACGGGGAAGTCAGAGACAGCTGAGCTCCCTGGCAAGGAGAGAGAGAGGCATCCAAGCAAGAGGCCTGCAGGGCGCCTCTCTAGCCTCTCTACAGAGGCCGCCGCAGGAGGGACTCACTCTGTTCATGCTGGGAGAGCTAATACTCCTCCGGTTCAGCTTCCCCTTCCCTGTCAGCTGCTCCTTCACAGCCACTTCCTGGGGATTGGAAAACAGGCCAAGAAGAGGGTCATGTGAGAGATGCACGCCAACACAGGCTTCAAAGTTTTCCCCATTCGTTAAATGCCAGTCAAGACTTGACAAGAGAGAACAACCCCACTGCGATCACTGGATTATGTGAGAGTAAACTCTTCAGACTTCAGAAGCAACACCACCAAACTCCAGAAAGTCAAGGGCAGAAGCAGGATGGCACTCCACCGTGGCACTGTTGACCACCACTGACCTGACGAAGGCGATCTAAAGTCAGGAGGTTTTCCACAGCCAGCACACTCCTCAAGTACTTCTCAATATAGGCCTCGGAGTCAGCAGAAGCTGGGTTTTCCACATTAGCTGCCATCCTTGCCAGTGCCTCTCGCTCCTCCACTCCCTGGGCATCCTGAAGAACAGAACGATGCATGATAAAGAAAGTATTAGCGAGGTTTCAAGCGCACACATGCACACTTCATCCAGAAGAACGGAAAGACACATGTTAGAACTATACTGAAAACATCATTACAGATGCTTCACATACACATGCTACACATGTACATGCTCACAAACACTCAAAAACATGCTTACACATACTGAAACATGCAGTCACACATACACACACATATATCCACAGAGCTCTAAATTGACAAAATTCAATGGAATCCAAAGTTCCATTTTAACATCTGCTTTTAGAACTCAAAATGCACTTTCCACAGAAGCCATGAACCATCATTAAGTACCAGGATAACCAGCAGCTTTCATGAGCATTCCAAACAGCAGTTGTTCCCATTCACAAACAAACATTCACTACCAATTACCAATTGGAAAGGATTCTGTAGGTGATCGGAAAGACAACCACCAAGACAACAGTTTTGTGAGAAGGTAGCATCCCTGAGACTCATGGGAGCTGGATCAGCCCACTAGACAAAGTGGAGACCTGATGACCCTGGTACCCAAGTGGGATGCTGACGCAGTTAGAGAAGGGAGTGGAAGAGGGCAGGGCAAGGCCCTAGCTGCTGCTGAGCAGCCCGACACAGACACTCAGATTGCAGAGCTTCCAGCACTGCTTGAGGCCTCCCTGGGGAGCAGCAGTGGCCAAAGGCTCTGGAGAACAGATGTGAAATCCCACCCTGTCCCACTGACTGAGTGAGTCAGGAGGGGATGAGGAAACATTGTTTGCAGCCTCTGAAAGCCTGGCCAGTTACCAACCATCCTATCACACAAGGTGCTGAGTTATAAGCTGATTTGCCTACACTCCTTTCCTTTATGAATGAAGCACAGAACAATCTTTCCTGAGTCCAAGATTTCATAATCACTCTGCTGCTGCCCACAGCTTCCTTGCTGACTGACTGGCTGGGGACTAAATGCAGGACCCTGCACAGGCTATACAAGGGCACTCACTGTCAGAGTTACACCTCAGTCCTTGGCTGCTAAGGGGCTTCGTGTTTATCATAGGGTCTCACTAAGTAGCCCAGACCAGCCTCACACTCAGGATCCTCCCACCTCAACTTCCCACGTCTAGGATTATAGACATGTCCACACCTGGCAACAGCCTAGTTTTCAAATGTCTAAGAGGCTTCACTTCAAGTTAAATACTTAAGTAGTTAATGTTTAATATGTAAGACTAACTTGGAAAACCCAGGAAAGAAGGAATTACTATTGGATGTTTTAAGAGACAAGAATTTTGCAACATAATGTGACAGGGCAGGCAGTGCAGAGGTTCCTCCATCTTGTACTCTTGCTGAGGCCATTTCAGGTTTAACTAGAATTTGGTCTCCTTGACGGAGAATCTCATGGAAAATGTCCCAACTCAATTCTGGGGACCTGAGGTCAGGATGGCCTACCTAACTTCGCCTGTGTGTGCAGAATTCCCCACAGCTAACCATTTATCTTAGTTCCTATGAAACTGCTTGCTTCTGTGAAGCTCCCAGTAGCTGTGGAGTGAGATATCAAGATGTGGTTTTTGCCTTCAAAAACCTAGGTCCCCAAATGCCTGGATATGGTCCTAGCTGGCTGGAATACAGACAAAGTTGGCTATAAACTGTGTCTAGTGGTCACCTCTGGTGTGCTCCCTGTAACAGTAAGAAATCTAAAACAAAGCCCAGGTGCCAGCAGCTGCTTGCCTCCATTTCAGACTGTGTTAAAGCAGGTGTTGATCACCTACAATTCCAAAGCTCAACAGAATCAATCCACAGACTCTAGTGAAGAGCAGGAGGCAGTCAGTGCCGACAGTGTGTGTGGGGGGGCCCAGGTTTCTGGGACCTGTGTACCCTCTCCCCAGAAGACATCATTCTCTGATTCAGAGTAAAGCATGCAAGCTCACTTTGCTAGCAAGGGGCAGAAACTGGCCTTCTTCTGGTTCCACATCAGACCTACACTGGACTGTTTCTGCCCTCTAACACAACATTACTACTATCTATTGTGTTTTAAAATAAGAAGCTTTTCAAAATGGAGTTCTTGGCTAGAGACGGCTCAGTGGGGAGCTGCACCTGCAGCCCAAATTCTTGGGTGGGTAACTTTTCAAGGAGTTAGCTCTCCAAGTGTTTATTTCCAGTTCAAACATCATAGAATCCTTTACCTCTGGGATATTGGAGACAATTTCAAAGGTCACTCCACAGCCAGGAATAGAGCTCCGATGAGACATCTTTTTTAGCAGACTTTGAGCAAAGCCCTAGAGAAAAAAATAAAATATAGACCATTATTTCCTCCCTCGCCAGCTGTTTACTGTAACAAAGAGGCACAAAGGGTACTGTTCACTCACAGCCAATGTAAGAGCCGGCTTCTGACATGCGTGAGAGCGCCCTAGCACCAAACACAGCTCTTCACTTCAGCACAGAACCAATGGACTGGCACCTACAGTGTGCCTCAGGTCCTGCACCTGACTAGGGAGAGGTCAGACCTGGGATCTGGAAGCTGCCACCAGGCATCTGAACAAACTCAGAAGACAGAAGATATGACAAAATGACCTTCTAAGAAGGATGGAGGCAAGGACTGGTGGCGCTTATACTCTCCTCCTCCAGCACGATAGACGTCTTGTACCATGAATATTGACAAGTTCAGGCATTAAATTCTTGACCAAAGCAGGATCGTTATGAAGGATGATTTAAGAGTGCCTGGTCATTGTTTATGCTGACTGCGCTCTTTGCACAGTTAGGAATTGAACTGTTGAATTAATGCATAGATGACTCATTTGGAGATGCTGCGAAGATTGAACATTCTGCAGAGGTTGAAGAGAGCAGCCCTGGGGCGGAATACAATTGAATAAAGATAAGGAGAGAGAATAGTGAATAGGCAGGAGGCAAAAGGTGATGCAGAAACATGCAAAACCCAAAGGAAAGAAGAAAACCAGTTGGTGTTAAAAATATGTAATTTTACAATCCTACCTAAAAATGATTTAGTTCCCATTTGGTGATCGTTAACTAATTTTTAAAAGAGTCTCTCAGCTGGGCAGTGGTGGCACACGCCTTTGATCCCAGAAATGAGGAGGCAGAAGTTGGCTGACTTCTATGAGTTCAAGGCCAGCTTGGCCTATAAAGTGAGTTTCAGGACAGCCAGGGCTACACAGAAAAACTCTGTCTCAAAAAACCAATAATAATAATAATAATAATAATAATAAGAGTCTCTCAGAACACCTGAAGTGACCTCTGATCCTCCCCCAACACCTGCCACCCACCTCCTCCCCGACAGAGCATCTTGGAATGGAAGAGGTCGTCCACTTCTTCATCACTTTAGGACCTCGGTGATGCCTTGTAGCATTCAAACAGAGACAGATGCATGGTACAGGCATCCATGGCTCCTACAGGTGGTAGAGGGTGCTGTCGCCTGACTGTGGCACCGCCCTGCCCTGCCAAGTGTTTGTCACTGTTCTATGAAGAAGCAATTTAAAGGAACTAAAGGAGAAGGAAGTGGCATGGCTTAAAATCCTTCCACCAAATCACTCCAACAGGGAAGAAATGAGCACATTTCTCCTACCCCAAAATACATGGTCACTCTACTGTGCCTCTCTGTTGGGAATGCTGCAGGTCAGGTAGCCAAGACAGCTGAATTAGAAATGGAAACTCACTCTTCAAGAAGCTCCCTAGAGCAGCAGGCCTCTCTCCATCCCTTTAGACTTCCCAGAAGAGAGACCCAGGAGTGAGTTGGAGACACGCAAATACTCTACAGCTAACCCCTGACCTGGATTTTATTGATGTTGGACCAGAGAGCTAAGGAGCTGCGATTTTAACAGCATTATGCCAGTCTTCATTTCAAAGATTGATATCAGTGTGACATTTAGAACTAAAGATTAATTTTTAGGGGTGGAGATTATATCTCAGAGTCTGTCAACCATGACTATGTTCTTTCAAATGAGAAGATTTATTTCCATCTGTGCCTGTGTGTTCAGAATGTCCCACCAAAAGGTGACAGGGTGAACGAGGAGCCCCAGAACCCACCTTCCAAATCCTCACAAATCCAGTAACACAGGGTTTAAATCTTACTTAGAGCATTTCTAGAAAACTCTTCTATACGTTAGGGTTCCTCCCCCCCTTTCCACCTCTTTGCTCTGCTGCCTGCCCAGCTTCTATGAAGTGCCAGCTCAAAGCTCCCCTCCCCTCCAAGGCTATCCTCATCACTCTGTTTGCAGGATGCTAGCCAACCCTGCACCCCAGCACCCCATACAATAAAAGGAGGCCTGCTTAAGAACTCTGGAATGCAAATGGACTTTGGCTCTTTAAAGATCCACACTGAGCCAGGTGGTGGTGGCAGCTGTGGTAATCCCAGCACTCAGGAGGCAGAGACAGTGGATCTCAGAGTTCGAGGACAGCCTGGTCTACAAAGGGAGTTCCAGGACAGCCAGGGCTACACAGGGAAACCTTGTTTCACAAACAAATCAAAAATATAGATCTATTTAAAATAATAATAATAAAAATAAAAACATAACGACCCAGACTGTTTCCTATTCAATGTTTTACAACCAAAGTCAAACTGGGAATCAAAGACTTCTGGGAAGAGAGGAGTCAGCACTCCCAGATGAGCACACAACTGACCCACCAGGGAACTTCCTCCAGTTGCTTGATCCAGAAGAACCCGCAACAACAAAGTCCCCGAACTTCCCCATGACAGGGCTCCCTTATAAATTACCCTGAGTCCTGTGAGAAACCGTGTGTGTTTAGAGACTGACAGCATGGTGAATGAGAGCAGGGACCTGAGAGAGGTAGGCTCAGAGCTCCATAGACCATGTCTGGAGAGTTCCTAGTGTCAGTGACACAGTCAGCCTGTGGTCACTCATCTCTCCCACCAGGGCTGAAGCCTCACCTGGCGCCCGTGAACATGGACACAAATCCTCTTGCGTAGGACCAGCTGCATGTCGGCAGGATGGCTGAGCTGGACGGTCACTCGCAGGATGAGGAACACTCGCTCATCAGCAGGAGTGCCTTTACTGAGCTGAGGACAGCTGTGCACTGCGGAGTCCCAGGAGGCCTCCGCCTTTGCCTGTAGAGGAGGCAGGGACAGACTTCACTTGCCTCGCCAAGGCCACACACCTCTTAAGAATACCATGTAGCTTGGGTAAAGGTTCTCTTTTGATAACTGCCCTGAAGACTTGTCAGAATGTGAGCGTGTGGCTGCTGCCATGTGAGGCTACAAAGTACTGGGCATGGTACCTGTGTTGGTACCTAGGCTCATATATCTGAATGCCTGGTTCCCAGTTGGTGGACTGCTAAGGAAGGATCAGGAGGTGTGGCCTTGTTGGAGGTGTGTCACTAGAGGTGGGCCTTGAAGTTTCCAAAGTCTAGACCAGGCCCAGTCTCTCTCTCTCCCCTCTTCTCCTTCTCTCCCTCCCCCTTTCTCCTCCCCTCTCTCCCCCTCCTTTTTCTCCTCTCCCCCCTCTCTCTCCCCACCCCATCAGGATGTAAGCTCTCAGCTACTGCTCCAGTGTCATGCCTGTCTGTCTATCTGTCTGCCTGCCTATCTGCTGCCACACGCCCCACCATGATGATGATGATGGACTAACCCTCTAAAACTGTAAGCAAACCCTCAATTAAGCATTTTCTCTTACAAGCTGCTTTGGGCAATCTCTTTCACAACAACAGAACAGTAACTAAAATAGTACCTTATTAGCCTGTTTGCTATTAAATTATGTTTTTTAACATGATTAAACATCAAGAAAGATTGAAATTTTTCAGTACTGTGGACTTTGTGTACTGTTCCTCGATCTTCACTCACTGAGACCATGTGTCTGTTTAGCCCACAACCCAATCACTTTCAAGTACATTGCAGGTAAGTGTCACACCTAGGAAATGGACAGGATGCTATCCTGTTTGGATTTGTCCCTGTTCTCAGTCCAGGATTACAAACTGCAGCAACGTCATGGCCCCATAGTCTACGTCAACAGGGAGTGTTGCCAAGCCTGTCACATCACACCTGACCCAAGCAGGTTCAGGACTAAGGAAAGGCATAGTGTGATCGAGGGGAACCGGACTAATGTCCAAAGGCATGTCGGCAGGATGGCTGCGCTGGACTGTCACTCGCAGGATGAGGAGTTCCTTAGATACTCTACTGCTGGTACCATTTGTCAAGCATATTCAAAACCAGGGAATTACCCCTCAGGATTGTGCCCGTCACACAGATTCAACCATGAGATCCAATCATTCAACAATTCTGCCTCACTGCCTTCATTTATTCTTTTGTTCTTTTTATGCTGAGACATGGTCTCACTCATAGCTCACACTGGGTTTGAACTCATGATCCTCATACCTCAGTCTCCCAAATGCTAGCACCACAGGTGTGTACCACCAGGCCTGGCTTCCTTTTTCTCCTCTTTAAAGAGGTTTTAGGTCAGGCATGGTGTTCCATACCTTTAACCCCAGCACTTGGGAGGCAGAGGCAGTAGATCTCTTTGAGTTTAAAGCCAGTCTGCTCTACCTAGCCAGTTCCAGGCCAGCCAGGGCTACATAGTGAGGTCCTGTAATGAAAGTTCTTACGAAAGAACTGCAGAACAGATACCAATCCATGTCCTTCCAGCCTGTAGCTCCCTATACTTCAGTGGAATCAACAACCTCCTCCCTCCTCTCAGGGCAGAAACAGGGCAGAAGCCAGTGGATGCTGTCCACACGGACATGGGTCCCTCACCAAGAACGGAAGGGAGAAGGTAGATGGAGTGGGGTGTGAGGTTCAAGCTTCACTCTAACTACTAATAGAGAATTTTCGCTTATTCTGTGGAGGCCACTATCTCACTGACATCAAAGGCTCCTGGCAGGACTGGGAGCTCCTTATCTGCTTCTCCAGGGTATGCTGACTTACCTCCCCATCTTGCTGTTTCACAATCTGCAGCTCAAAGAACTCCTCCTCCTCTTCCCCAGTCAGGGTAGCATCCCATCCGGCTTCTGGGTCATCGAGATTATCCTGAGAGCTGAAATCATCCGCTGAAAGCAGGGCTTTCACTCAACACCAGATCGTTTTCAAAGACACCCCTCCTCCCGCCCTGGCTAGCTGAACCAACGTGCTTATTATTAAAATTCTTCTGCTTCAAACTTCACTTGCTTTCTGCACTGCAGTCTCCAATAACACTGATGATAACCATTTAATAGTTCACAGATCCAAGAGCCAGAAAGTGCTTCGAGAAATTACCCAAGCTGCTCCCCATGTGTCATATTTTACATGGAAGGCAAGGGAAGCCAAGATACCCAAGAGGGTTCTAGAGGTCAGCTCATAAATGGTAATGATGGGATCACAGCCCAATTTCCCCACCCTTTAGTGCACTTAAGGAAGAAGAAGAAAGCGAGAGCAATTCCTGACAGTTAAGCCTAACAAAAGCACAGACTGGCTAATGGACCTGGCAAGTGCACAGGGCCCTGTGGTCACTCGGTCCCGAGCCTGGCTTCCCAGTGCCCCATCTACCAAAGCTCGTGCCTACACAGCAAAGAAAGTGCACTTGTGTGGACCACTAATGTGGAGTGCTGAACAAAGTTCTGACCATCGCTTCAGACTCCCAGGCTAATGTGGTACATCTACACAATGGACTTTCATTCAGCCATAAAGAAGAATGACATTATTCACTGCAAGAAAATGGATGGAACCAGAGATCACCATGTTAAGTGAAAGAATCCAAACATCCAAGTCATGTATTTTTCCCCCACAGAGTATAAAAGTAAAAGGGGAACTACAAGGGAGGCAGGGAGTTGTCTAAAGAGGAGGAGGAAGATGGGGGGAAAGAGGGAGGGAGAAAAACACAAATACTGCCTTTTCGCTCATACGCAGATCTAGATCGATTTATCTATCTATCTATCTATCTATCTATCTATCTATCTATCTACCTACCTACCTATCCACCCACCCATCCATCCATCCATCCATCCATCCATCCATCATCCAGCTATCATCTATCTGTCCTACCTACCCATGTGACAGGAAAGCAGGAGAATGACTTGGTGGAAGGAAGGGACCCATGGAAGGGAAGGAGAAAGGACAGGAGAATAACGTGAGAGGGTACATATGAGCAAAGCATAATGTATGTACATATGAGAATGTCATGATAAAATTCATTATTTCATATGCTAAAAAAAAAAAAAGCTGTTTTGTGTGTTTTCCTAAACTTCAATCCTTCCCAATCTCTTAAAGCTTCTTCAGCTGCCTACATACGAAGCCCAACGTAAGAGCAGGCCAGAGCCCACCTCAGCCTCCAGGCTCAAGAGCTCAAGGTAAACAGTCTCCTGTGACAGCTCTCAAACAGCTCCCACCCCACAGATGGACAGGTGCTGTGAATGTCCCGTGTCTCTCCAACCTGTGCATGTGTGAGCTCAGGCACAGGATGCTGGGTCCCTCAGGCATCCTAGCACACGTCCACGCAGTGAAGGGACCACTGAGGACACCCAGGCTTTTCTATTTAGGGAAGTTCGTGTTAATACACACTTCTGCAGGTGTTTCATGGAGCTTAACTGCTGACTTCTTATTTTTAGCTCCCTAACCTACCTTTGCATTTTCTATTTTCCCTCCTATAGACAGAGACCAGTGGGAAGGGTGTGTGGGGGCTGGGGTAGAACAGTTATGTAAAAAGGAAAATAAGCAAGCAGGGTTAAGTTCACAGGAACTCACAGAAAAGCTGAGAAATTCATTAAATAATGCTAAGGAAACATAGGATCTCTAGTTGCTGGTCTCTTCCTGACGGAAGTTTTCTTCTGAGCACTGAAGTCAGAACATATTTTCAGTATAGAAAAGCATCCTAAATTGGTGGGAAACAAGGCATTCTCACAGAAGCAAGGCTGCAACATGGAGATGCGTCCATCACTGCCATTGCTGCTATGCTGGGCTGGAGCTCAGTGGGAGCACACTTGTCTAGCATGTGTGAGGCCCCAGATTCAATCCCCAGCTCTAGGGACGGAAATGGAATGAAATGGACAGAGGGAGAGAGGAAGAGGACGGAGAGAGGGAGGGAAAGAAGGAGAGATGGAGGGAGAAAGAGAGAGCTCACCACAGCAAGAGCGATATTGAGATTGACTTCACACAACTAGTCTCTGTCCAACATGGACTATGGAACCCAGAGCGCTGGTCCTCACATCAGGGTCACTACAAACCCACAACACAGTGGCTAGATCCACAAAGTGTCACCCTGTCTGTCACCACTTCATCACGGTAAGCCTCCAGGAACCACCTCGAACTTACCGTTTAAGTCCAGGAATATGACAGGAATGTGGGTCTCCATTCCAGGCACTGGGGTCCTAAATCAGGAAGGACAGGTTATATCCAGTATCCGAGACACAAAAGACTCATGTCACTCAGGTGACAATGGCCTGGCCACTTATCTCACTCTAAGTTGGTGTAACAAGGTTCATGGTTGACTGTACGAGCTGCCTCCTATGCTGGGACATGGGAGCTCACTGTTATAGGCCCACCCACCAGCTCACCATCAGCCTGTTTAGAGCTTTCTTCCTTGCCAAATGACATACTGAAGGGCTCCTTGTAGCTTACCTTGCTATTTTTAATTTCTGTCAAGTGTCAGAGAACATTTGCTGACAGCATAGCTTAAGCACCTAAACCAAAAACTGGTTGAGATGCAGTTTTCTTATGACCTAACATTCTTTTAAGGGAATGAATGATTCAAGTAATTAACATATTAACTATTTTTTAATGCTAAGTGCAGTGGTACTAAATATTGATTTAAGTTCTCAGAAATCCTAATTATCTTGGCTAATAACAATATTATTTAATAAAACAGTTTCAGGCCATAGTCATATCCAACTCATGAAAATAATTTAACAGTCCTTCAATACAAATAGCTCTGTTCTCACACACCATGATGAACCATCCATTAAATGCAGCACTGCCAAAAAAAAAAAAGGAGGTACCTGGTCGCCCCTGGGGGTTTCAGACGACACACTGTAGGACCTTACCATTCTGCTGGTGCCCCTGGAATGCCACTGCCAGCAGAGGGCACCATCACTGCATTTCTCTCCTCTGTGAGAGTTAGCCGCATCTCCAGGAGCTGTGCCTCTCGGTCGGCATCATCCTCAGTTTTGTCTAGAAGGGAGTCAGGGTTAGGTCTAGCAATCCTGCCTGCTGTCCCCACATATTTCATAGATTTACTAGATTTTATTTATTTATTTGTTTGTTTACTATGTGTGTGTGTGTGTGTGTGTGTGTGTGTGTGTGTGTGTGTGTGTGTGTTTAAGGGGGAGGGAGAGACTGTGAGTATGTGTGCACCTTGTGCATGCAGGAACCCCCAGAGGACCAAAGAGGGCATCATACCCCTGGAACATGAGTTACAAACGGTTGTGAACTGCTATCAGGTGGGAGCTGAGACTGAACCCAGGTCCTCTGCAAGAGCAGTAAGTGTTCTTAACCACTAAGCCATTCCTCCAGCCTGTTTCCATATTGTCTTTGAGTGAACATGATCTCCTGAGGTCAATGGGAATTTACAGAGGCTTTTTACAGTTCACAGACCTCTGGTACAGGGTCTGATAGTCTGCCTCAGCTTCCAAGCTCCCAGGACCTCCAACAAGAAATATCAGCACCTCTCTCCCAGTCACTTTTCAATGTGTATGGATGTTTTGTCTATACGTATGTCTGTGCCCCATCTCCAAATGGAACTACAAAAAAAATATCATTTCAACCAAATAAAGGCTATGCCCCAAGCCAAGAACAGGCATCCACCCTCACTACCATATTCATTGGGCCATCAGCTGGCTACAAGAGAGCCATCGACAAGATGCCCTGGCTGCTCTGCCACGGGGAGGGAAATGTCCAACTTGTTCTTCCTACCACGTTTACTGACGAGCTTCTGCAGTTGCTGATCCAAGTATTCTTGACGCTTGGTTAATGCATTGAGCCATTTTCTACGCAGCCTCTCTAAATCCCTATCCTGTAAGGAAACAGGGGGAGCCAAACTCAATACAGTATCAGGCAACACGTCCGAACCAGACACTCCCTGACCTGCCTCACTCTTTTAACTCCAATACACAAGCAGCATGCAACAACTGCCTTTCTTTCTTCTTTTCCTTTTTAAAGACAAGGTCTAATAAAACCCAGATTGGCCTGGAACTCACTCACTATGTATAGCTGAAGATGACCTTGAACATCCCAAGTCTCTGTTCCCACCTCCGAGTGCTGGGATCACAGGCCTCTGTCACCATGGCCAGCATCAGCAGGGTAATGGAAGGTGAGTCCAGGACCTCATGTTCGCTAGGCAAGCACTCTACCAACTGTGCTGTGTGCCAGCCCAACATGTAGCACCAACAGCGACTCTATCTACAACTCAGATCAGAACTCCCAGAACAGACAGCATTCGGGTACTCTAGAGTAGACAGGCCCTGAAGAACTGCTTCTCTTTGTACTTGATGAGAAACAACATCTTCTATGAGGTTGCCTTGCTGGACAAGACTCACAAATTGTACTTAGCAAGCCCCAAACTTCTACTCCACAGAACCACAGGAAGAATCCTTCTAGTCTCCAGCCACTGCCTCCTATTGTATCACACTAGCCTCCCCAGGATGACAGCACGTAAGTGCTTCTCCTCCTTGAGTCTGTGTATTTGGGAGGAAGTGGTGGGCGAGAGGACAGGGGTCGTTATCAACAGCCTGAACTCCACCAGTCAACACCTGTCAGCATGCCAACCTGACCTCATTTCCTTCAGTAACACGGTTAGGGGGCTGGGTGGTTCAGAGGAATGCTGCAGATGTAGAGTATCTGGATTTCACCAGGGCACTTAACCAAATAGCCTATGACATTCCTGTGGACAAGCTGGAGAAACATGCTATGCATCTTCTCTAAGTGGCACCACAGGACTCAAGTACCACATCCAGAGAGCAGTGACAAATGGGGTGATGTCTATTGAAAAGAAGACTCCATGGCGGTACCATGAGTTCAACCCCAGCTGAAGGATGAGGTGTTTTTGTTTTCTTTTTTTTTATCAGTGACTTATAGGAAGGCAGACGTTTCTATCAAATTAGGATGATGCAAAGCCAGGAGAGTGACTACAGCGGATGACATAATCAGGCTCCAAAGAGCCCGGGCAGTCTTAAATGATGACTAACAAGATGCAACTTCACAGACATAAACAAAATCTGGCACATTAGGAAAAGAAAAGACAGGAGAAACAAAACCCCCCAAAACTAACGGACAAGTCAAGGAAGTGGGCATTCAGGATGACCTGGCTTCACACACATATGTGTTCCCCCCTCCCCCCTGAACCGTGGGTGACTCAGTTCAAGGTGAGCCCGGGTAAGGTATCTGGGAGGTGGTTGTAAAACAGTCCAATGCAGAGGCCCTGACTAGGAAAGGATTTCCTAGCTCTCCAACCCCGCTCCATGATACCCAGCATGCCATACTTTGTTTGACTTTCGGGAAAAGCAGAATTGTTTAATTATCAAGTAGCAGTGCGAAGAGATCCTGGCCTGTGTAATTAAGCACTTGAATCAAGCTGATTTGATAAGGCCAACAGGTGCTCAATTACCTGGTAGCTGTCCATGTCCTCCTCTTCCTCCTAAAAGAAAACAGTGTATTATGTAGAACCAAAACAATAATTCACCACAAATCAGGCTCCACACACAAGCACAAGCTTCTCCCACAGTTCCCATCTTCTTGTTTAGTTGATACATCACACCGTGGCCGCCCACCCAGCCTCACTCCAGCCCTCCATTGTCAGGAAGCTGGGAAGACGAGGAGCTTGTGGAGGAAAGTGAAGAGGCTCCCCTGACCTTTTCCAAGTCAGCACAATGCTCTCCCTGCTGGGCTTACAACCCCCAACACCAGGGGAAATCAAACACCTGCTGGCAAAGAGTCTTTACCAGCCAGTGGGGGGTTCTATACAGGGGTGGGCCACAGGAGGAAGTTAATCACTGTTAGCTTGGTGGTTTGCCAGGCTGAGAGGTTTTAACTCTCAGTTCACCACACACCAGGACAACACACAGTACCAGCCTGGTGCAAAGGCCTCTTGTTAAGGCAGTGCCCTGAAGGAGACACTAATAGCAGAGAGAGGGTTGGGGCAGCAATGTCTCAAAAGACTCTGGTCTGCTGCTGTCTTTCCAAAACAGGCACAGAAACTTACATGGGAGGCCTCGTGGGTCTTGGGGGACCTGAGTGGTCGAACTTTGACACACCCGATGCCAACCGACACTATGCACTCTTCCATCAGTGGTAAGGTCCCTGACTCCTGCACAGACTTCACTTCGACCTGAACTCGCCGGGACTGCCCCTGCAGCACAGAGAGATTCGGGAACACACACAAAAATATCAGTTTCTTGACTTTCAAAACTCTGGTTTAGAGAGACCCCTACAGCCTGATAAAAGAAATGCAGTTGGTTTGTGAGACGGTCCTCATAACTGTTAAATACTAAAGCACAAATTCAAACCTCCTCAGGAAAATGTATTTTCCTTCAAGCAGACAGAGGACCAAATGAACATAATTTTTATAATTCCCAAATAATAAGAAACTAGAAGAAAACTTGTGTGTTTTGTTTAATGAAAGCTAGGGGCTTGCTCTGTAGCTCTGGCAGGTATAGTACTCACTACGTATGTACCCTGGCCTACCCCTGAATTCAAGGCAATCCTCCTAGCTCACCTGCCAAATGCTGGCATGTGACAGAACACACAAGTAAATGAAAACTCACAAGCAAATGAAATGTAAACAGTGTCTAATAAAAAGTGTTCAACTGAACCAGGCGTGGTGGTGCACACTGTAACTTTAGCACTCAGGAGATGGGCACAGAAATCTCCGTGAGTTCAGGGTTAGCCTGGGAAGCATAGAGTTCTAAGCTATCCTGGGCTACAGAGAGTTCCAGGGCAGCATAGTCTATTCAGCGTTCTGGGGCTCCATAGGGAGGCCTTGACTAAAAAAGAAAAAGACCAACTTTCTGATAAGGTAACTATGAGAGCCTCCATTTCCACCTGCTAAGCTAGAAATTATTTCCAAAAGAGCCAAAATTTATGAAACAGGTATATCAACTCTGTGGGATAGGAATTTAAACTGGTCAAGCTTGCTCTAGGGCTAAGTAACTTCAAACTGAGTAACATTTGCCACAGAATTCAGCAATCAAGCATATGGATAGGAAATCTGGAAGGATGGTCAAGAACAAAGCAGCGGATCTCCATTAAATGCACAATCCTGACAACTGCAGAGGGACACTTACGGCCTACGTTAAAGTGCAGGATCCCAAAGTCAGCATTCAGTCCGGTTTTAAAGGTAAGAATTTCGAGGCGGTAGTGGCGCACGCCTTTAATCCCAGCACTCAAGCAGAGGCAGGCAGATCTCTGTGAGTTCGAGACCAGTCTGTTCTACAGAGCAAGTTCCAGGACAGCCAAGGCTACACAGAGAAACCCTGTCTCAAAACCCCTCCCCCTGCCCCTCCCCCAAAAAAGAATTCAGCTGTGTCCCCCCAGCACAGTGCTGTTTCCACAGCACTGTGTCTCTGCACAGCACTGTGGCTGAAGAGCCTCTCCTTTGGCTCAAGTCTCTCACTTATTATGAATGCATCTGAGAAAACTCATTTGCTTCTACCTTCTAGAACAATTAGAAATTTAAATATTTAAGCAAACATTCTCTTTCCTTCAACCTTTTCTCATGGTTTTCTTTGAATACTTTTAACATTCATCTCTAGAGCAGTTCTAATAATACAGGTTTTTAAAGATTCTTAAAAATTTTATGTACGTGTGTGTGTTTGTGAATATATGCCATGTGACTTTTAAGGGTCTCAGATCTCCTAGGGCTGGAAGTACAGGTGATTGAGAGCCATGCGACCTGAGTGCTGGGAACCAAACTTGAGTCCATGGGCAGAACAGAAAGTATTCTTATCACTGAGACATCTCTCCAGCCCCCTACTGTTGTGTTTGAAGTATAGAAACTCTAGAGAATAGCCTACTATTTTAGAATAACGTAAAGTGTGGTACAAAGAGTATTTCCAAATTATCTGTGGCAATTATACTGAGATTTTCCACTCTCTGGAATACATGTTACATGAAAGCAGGGGAGGATACAATCTGGGGAAGAGGTAGAGCCAGCGAGAGGGGGTGTGAGGGAGGGAGTGGGGGACTGGTATGAATAAGCACTAAGTATGTGAGCAGATGCAGGAAACAGTCATCAGGAAGACTTATTTTCTGCTAACCAAGCAAATTACGAATGGAGACCCTCCCCATCACTGTCAGTCAGAAGCAGAGACGGGCAGATTGCCACTCTCCAGTAAGCGGTGACTGGTCCACATCTCTCTCTGCTGCATGGCCTCAGCCACACACGTTCAACACCTGCCTCATGTCAAGCAAATGGCTTTATACAGCACTCTCCTAACGGTCGCCCAAACCCACGCCCCTGGTGCCAGCCTCCTCTCCACGTTCCAGGTGAAGGAGTCACAAGTACACAGCTGGGATCTGACAGCTCAGCCCATTCACACTCAGTCCTTTCTACAACTTTGTACGGCTTTCCTCGTGTTCAGGAACATACAAATAATGCTGGGTACGTCGCCTTACATCCCACTCTTCGAGTCTAAGTTTTCTTTGAAAGCTTCTCTTTTTAACCCAGCAAGAAGGTTCACCCAGTAAAGGTGTTTGCTTCAAGACTGATGACCTGAGTTCAGATTCCAGGACATGAACAGTAGAGAAAACCACTTCTGCAAATTGTCCTCTGACCTCCACTGTGTCCTGTGGCATATAAACTCACACACAAACACGTACATACAAAGTAACAAAATGTTTTTCAAAAAAGCTTAGTCTTTAACCTTTTTAGAAACTACTTTTATAATATGATAAGTAGCAAGACTCTTGGTAATAAAAGAAAATGTACATAACATAGGAAATAATTTTAATATAAGAAATGGGTTTGAAAAAAATTAAAAATTAAAAAAGGGCCAATGAGATGGTTAAGTAAGTAAAGGAGCTTGCTGTCATGCCTAACAACCTGAGTTCAAACCCCAGGACTATGTGGAAAAAGAAAAAAGCAAAGTCTCACAGGCTGTCCTCTGACTTCTAAATGCACATCTACCCACATTCGTACACAATAAATAAATGTCAATAAATTTAAATTTTTCAAAGAAATGGGCTTGACCATTGTATATTTAATCATCATCAGCAGCAGCAGCATCAAGAATTCTATTCAAAGGAATCCACTGTAAGCCTTCTGGTGTCAAGGGATATACTATGACATCACAATCTTGGTACCTGCCGGAGCTGGAAGATCCCCCCTGTTGAGACATCTTTTGCGGCAATCACTTCCACGGGGCAGTATTCACCATTCTCATTCTGTTCCAAGATCTGAACCCAGAATTCCAACTTCCTGGTGACTTCACTCCACCTAGGAAATACATGCAGTCCTTGGGAAGTTACACCTCTCTCCAGGGGGCAGGGTTTCATGTATAGCAGAATGTGCTCAAACTCGATACATAGTCGAAGGTAACCTTTAAGTTCCAATCTTCCTGCCTCCTACTCCTGAGGTTACAGGGATGTGCCAACATACCATTCTATGCAGTAAATCCAGGGCTTCATGCATACTGGTCAAGCACCCTACCAACGGAGCCACCTCGGCAGCTCCCAAACCATGCCTCTACTTCAGTGCAGACAGCTTAGGATCTTACGTTTGACTTAACAGTGAGAATGACCGTAAACAGAGGAGCCCAGGGAAATGATCTTCAGATTAGGAAAAAATGCACAGCACATAACGGCAAACAGCATGAACAGAAAGTCAAACTCACAGCATCAGATACAGGCTGGCTCCTTGGTTTTCTGCTGTGGTCTCTGAGGACTGAATCCAGGGCGGCCTTCATGTGCTGAGCAAATACTCTACCAATGAGCTACAGCTTAATCACAGGCACTTTTATTTTGTTTCAAAAATTATAGTGTGGGGTGAGAACAATGGCTCAGAGTTCAAACCCACATAAACAGTGGGTGCAGTGGCCCACCAGTAGTCCCAGTAAACAGAAGACACACACATAGGGCTCTCCAGAGTAAGGTGGACAGCTAGACTAGCTGAACTGGGGAGCTCTGGGTTCAAGAGAGAGACCCTGCCTTGATATATAAAGTGGAGAGCAACTGAGGAAGAAATGTTACATCAGTCTTTGGCCTCTACATGCATACACACGTGTGCCTAGACAACTTGTGAACATGAGTGTGTGCGTGTACACACACACACACACACACACACACACACACACACACACACACACACACACAGCATACTCACAGGGTCGGGCAATGACAAATACATTTGAAAATGACTATCCAATGACTGACATACTCTAGTCGGTACACAGAAGCCAAGCACAGGATGCTCTTCTCAGAGGAAGGTGTCATCTGTGACTTGAGGAGGATGTGCTCTCAGATCAGTAAGAAAATGCAGAAAATAAATCTCACCTTCCAATTTAGGATTTGATAAAAAAAGAAAATCTGTTTCTCATCTACAATTAGAGGGAAGTAAAAACATCCCCTCTTTAGTCATTCCCTTTTAACTGTTTCATGTTATCAAATGCCTGCCTCCCTCCCATCACTGACATACTTAAAACTGGAAAGTGTTAGGGGTGCTGAACTGTGCAGCACTCGCCTAGCATGTGTGAGGCCCTGGGTTCAAACCCCAGCAGCACAAAATCAAACAAGCAACCACCACCAAGAAACATCTATGAGCTAGAGGCAGGGTCAACATGAATGCTACAGCAGATTGCCATCCATCTCTCCACCGCTGGTTAGTCAGACAAACTCACTGTGGTAAGTGACCTTCCCTTACACTTCACTTCACGGTTGCTTCTTAAACACCCCTGTGCTTCTTCCATCATTCTCTGAAGTTCGCTGCTTTAAGGAAATTGTACTGGGAGACTAACACCCTAGAGACAAACCTGGTGATGCTCAGGAGAAGGTGGCCATTCGTTTATAACAGTGATGGCTCAAGAGTTCAAGTGCTCGCTGCACAAGCATGAGACCCACTAGAGTCTAGAGCTCCAGAACACACATCAATGCTGGTGAATCAATGCCTGCCTGTAATTCCAGCTCTGAACATGCAGACACACTGGATCCTTGAGGCAGGCTGGCTAGCCAGCTTAGCCCTGCTGGTGAGCTCCAGTTTTGAATGAGGGACCTTGTGCCTCAATGAATAAAGTGGAGAGTGACTGAGGAAAACTTCCCATGTCAATTTTGACCCCCACTCATGCAAGTATGTATACACACATGTACATACCACACATACACAAGGGAAAGAAAAATAATTTATAAATAAGTGACGGTCATCTCCAGCAATTTTTCTAAAACTAGAAATGGGAATCCAGTGAATACCAAAAACTCACCTGTCCCGAAGACTCCTTGTTTTTGCTTGGATGATTCCCAAATCCCACAGGGCTGGGTTTTTCCGAGGATCATTCATTTTATGTCCATATACTTCAATGGCCAGTGCCCCATCTGAGAGATACTCAATGAAGTCTTCTGTGATGTTCACATTGAACTCCTGAAACATAACAGCTCATTGCGGAGCAGTAGACACTGCCTGGGTCTTTGGACCACTTAAGCCAGGCTTCACATCCTTCACAGTATCAGGGAGGAAAGACAGAGACAAAGGCCACTTTCCTCATAGAACCGAATGGTTATTTAATACAACAGCGATGTGCACACAGACTAACACTCTTGCTTTCAAATACAGTATGGCACTGAAGCGGGCTGGAGAGATGGCTCTGTGCATAAGACCAAGTACTGCTTTTCTAGGACCCACATCTGATGACTCACAACTACCTATAATATCAGATCCAGGGGACTGGTATCTCTGGTCTCTGTGGGTCCCGGTACTCATGTGCACACATCCACAAAGAAACACACTGATTTAAAAAAAAAAATTAATCTTTTAAAGTTAAAAATATATAAACATAGCCATGACTTTAAAACTTCTCATTCTGAAAGACTAATCTATAAGAATAGCAAATTAGCCGGGCGGTGGTGGCGCACGCCTTTAATCCCAGCACTTGGGAGGCAGAGCCAGGCAGATCTCTGTGAGTTCGAGGCCAGCCTGGGCTACCAAGTGAGTCCCAGGAAAGGCGCAAAGCTACACAGAGAAACCCTGTCTCAAAAAACCAAAAAAAAAAAAAAAAAGAATATAGCAAATTATTTTGTTAGCAGTATTTTAGGGGCCTCTTTTCATTTTTGTTGGGGGTCAAGTGTAGGGTAAATAGCAAAGGCCAGTCCAAACCCTGATGGTTACCAGCCAAAGGAAGTGACGGTCACTACTTTGAGTTTATTCAGCCCACAAAAATATCATCGTTAGTGATAACTGGTCAGGACCCGTGGGAAGAGTGAGCAATCAACAGGGCAGAACAAGAGGTGCCCAGCAGGGTGGTCTCTGATCTTGTTACCTTCAGGTTCATTAAAACACTAGTTTCTTAACCTTTTTATAAAACACAGGCTCCCTCTGGAAAAGAGTGCTCACGTATACATCTACACAGCTTGTTTTCCTTCGTACAGACGTTAACTCTTGATTCTGGATATGCTGAATGAACTAACTCTTTGGTCTAGGACTACAGAATACTCCACGACAAAGAGTGGCAAAATCACCCAGAGACGCGGCAGCACTCACTCCTGAGCTGTGTTTACATGAATGACTTAGATACTGAGAGACTGAGAAGGGACTCACACTGCAATGGTCGAACACAACCATACACTGTGGCTCCTTGCTGGTGGGAGACGAAGAGGTATCCACTTCGGGGGCAACAGTCACTGGCTCCTGCTGATCCCAGAAGTCGTATTTGCAGAATACAAAGTTGCACAGATGCTGCGGCAACCCTGTGGCTTGGAGTATTTTAACCTGAAGGGAAAGAAGGCCCCATTTGTCTCGACCAGCAGGGTCCAAGGAGTACTTAATGCAGAGACTGGGGCAGGGGTCGGGGGTCCTGCCCCGGCTCTGTCACCAAACATGCACCTACTTTAGACTATGTCATTCGGTGTTGGCCCAGGACTAGCATACAGGCCTGACACAGGGTGATGACAACCAGAGACCCAGGTGGGTGCTGGGCAGCACTTCGAAGCTGACAAGAGCATCTGAATCCTAGTTTGTCAGAATGTAGGATACCATCATCATCGACCCAGCATTTTGTAAGGAAAGCACAAAGGTGTTTAGCACAATGAGCAAAGCACAGAACTGTGTCTGAGTCAATGAGCAGCAGATCTTCAGGAAAGGGCAGGATTCACTCAGTTATCTCAAGAATACGGAGGAACTGAGCTCTGGAAGAGAATGCTACGTGCTACAATCGTATTACTTTATTTTTATTTTATTCCTACTTGAGAACTTCACTGGGTGTTGCATTTGACCATCTTGTCTGGAGGGGAGAATGGAGGAGGTGCAGACTACAGAGTTGCTGTTTTCTGCACTGACATTTGCCTCAATACCTTCCCCTGAGTGATGGCAAACACCCAAAGGAAGCTCTGGATGAGGACCCCAGAGTCTGTGATTACAAAGGATGGTCAGAAGCACATGCCCAGTAGGACCAATGCCCCAGAGAAAATGCCTGCAACAGAGTCTTTAAAAAAAGAAAAAAAAAAATGGGGGCTGGAGAGATGGCTCAGCGGTTAAGAGCACTGGCTGCTCTGCCAGAGGTCCTGAGTTCAATTCCCAGCAACCACATGGTGGCTCACAACCATCTGTAATGAGATCTGGCACCCTCTCCTGGCCTGCAGGAATGCATGCAGACAGGAAATTGTATACATAAGAAATAAATAAATTAATTAAAAAAAAATGTTGCCGAGCAGCGGTGGCACACGCCTTTAATCCCAGCACTTGGGAGGCAGAGCCGGGTGGACCTCTGTGAGTTCGAGGCTAGCCTGGTCTACAGAGTGAGATCCAGGACAGGCACCAAAACTACATGGAGAATCCCTGTCTCAAAAAAAGCAAAAAAGCAAATTGTTTTTAGCATTTTTTTAACTATATGGATGTATGTATTGTGTGTGGGTATATGCCTGTGAATGCAGGTTCTTGTAGAGTCCAAACAAGGGTGTCTGATCCCCTGCTGGAGTTATAGGAAGTCATGAGCTGCCGGACCTGGTGCTAGGAACTTACCTCCAGTTCTTTACAAGAGAAGCAAGTACTCCTAACCTGAACCATCTCTCGAGCCCCACTTACTTATATATATTCATATACACGTCTGTGTGGCTGTATCAATGAGCATGATGTATGTGCAGGTGCCCTCAGAAGAAGCCATCAGACCCCTTGGAGTTACAAGCAGTTGTGAGCTGCTACAAGTGGATGGTGGAAACAGAACTCAGGTCCTCTAGAAGAGCAGCACCCTTAACCACTGAGCCATCCCTCCAGCCTCCCCTACCAGATCTTTAAGCAGCCAAACATTCTTCATAGTCTTTGCAGCAGCATTGGATTTCAATTTGGAGTTTCTGTGGTAGCTTGTGATGTTGTTAAAACCACACAATAGGAAATAAATCCTAGAATTATTCATTATACTGCATGGTATGTGTGATGACTATTGCTGGTTGTCAACTTGACTACACCTGGATTTAACTAAAACCCAAAAAGCTGGGCACACCTGTGATGAATTTTTTCTTTTTTTTTTTAATTTATTTTTATTTTATGTGTACTAGTGTTTTGCCTAGATGTATGTCTGTCATATGAGGGTGCCAGATCTCCTGGAACTGGAGTTATAGACAGTTGTGAGCTGCCATGTGAGTGCTGAGAATTGAACCTGGATCCTCTGGAACTCCAGCTCCACGATTTTTTTTCTTAATTAAATCATTTGAAATGGGAGACCCACTTCTAATCTGGGTCTTTGAGGTGGGAAGATCAACCTTTAATCTGGGCCACGCCTCCTGCTGGCAGTCTATGTGAAGGATATGGAAGGAAGCTTGCTCTCCTTGCCGGCTTGCTCACTCTCCCTATCAAGTCCATTCTTTCTATGACATTAGAGCCTATTTCTTTGGGATTCTGCTGTATGCTATCCTGAAGACCAGCTGAGATATCCAGTCTCATGGACTGAACAACTCCTGGATTCTTGGATCTCCCATTCATTGGCAGCCATTGTTGGACTAGCAGGACCACAACCTGCAAGCCATTCTAATAAACCCCCTTTAAATGACTGACTGACAGACAGAGAGACAGACAGACAGATATAGATTCATTCATCCATCCATTCATTCATTCATTCATTCATTCTGTAAGTTCTGTTCCTCTAGAGAACCCTGTATGAGCAGGATGATTTTCACACAACTGAATTCACCACAAATTACACTATGCAGCTGCTCTCTTTCCCTAAGTTGTCTGATTCACTCTGTATCTAGTAAATACATTTAATGAGAATAAACTGGACGATGCGGTGTAGTTCTCATGGCTCAACAAGCTCAACTATAACTGTGGCATTCAGGGACCCTGAGGATACACACAATTATGCAAAGCAGATTTCCTGTGTAACGGTACAAAACAGGTCAGCAACAAACAGCGACTTCATTCTAGGCCATTCCTTCCTGAGATGTCAATGAGCTTGGACCACCCAGGCAACAAGGCTCCGAAAAGCTGATGTGTTTTCTCTCTCCACATCAAATACTGACTGACCATCCGTATTTAAAGATATATTTTACAGGAAAGTTTTTCCAAGTTCTTTTCTCTACATGTTTAAAATGTTTATTATACCCCTCAAACAAGGCAATGTGCTGTGGGGGATGATTACAAGGTCTTGGCATTACACAGATCTAAAAGAATCCTGGCCATTTGCTGGCCTGTGTGCTGGTGTAAATTAGTCTTAAGCTTAGCTTTCTCCTGGCAGAGAGGGGAGGATTTACGCCTACCCTCACACAGGTGAGGCCAGCCACATCAATAAAACAACGAGGTGAATGACAGCCAGGCCAGGCCCTGCTGAGCAGATGTTGCACACATACTGATTGTGACAGAATTCCACCTGAAAGCCATTGCATTCCTACAGAAATGAATCTCAATCTAAGGCTGAAATAAACAAGAAACAAGATGGGTTTTGCTGACCTGCCCTCTGCAGGAACTTCTGAGAATTAAGACTTTTTTCAGGAATGAAGAGCAACAGGAACAAGCAATAAACACACCAAGAACATACATAGGCTGTTTGGAGTTTTTCACTGTTGTTGTTTTGAAAATTTAGCTACAAAAATTGAAATGACCACAAGGTGTCAGGATAGCACTCAACTTTCAGCTCAATATGAAAGAGTCAAAGTGTATTGGCAGGAATCAATGTTATTTGGGGCTTTTAATTTAATGTTTCTGAAAATATGAATGAGGGCATACTCTTTCATTATGGAAGAAATGAATGCAGATGTCTTGTACAGCCAGTGATCTCCCCAGGTTTGACTTTCCACAGGACCTTCACTCACTGTGTGTGTTACCTGCTCGTGTCTTCTACACAATGGGCTCTCATAGCGAGGGCATGGTCTCCAAGAAGTGTGTCCACTTAAATGAACACTGCTTCTTAAGAAGTGGTGGGTTCTGAGTCCAGAAAATGAAATGTCTACCATACCCAAAAGCTACCAGTCAATGAGGGTCAGGTTCATGTCTACAGGACTCAAGAGCCAACTGAAGAAGCTGCCACTACTCAAATTTGGGAACATTGGAGATTTGATACAAGTAATGAATACCCAGGATTAGAAGACACATATGTTAAATCTAAAAGTTCATTATAACATGAAATAACCAATTATAACCAATAATTTTAACAGAAAACACACCACTACATATAACATACACTTGCTTTCCTATTACATGGTGCATTGTTTTGCTGCTGAACTCCATCTGATGCCTCTGAGCACGCAATGACACGCAATGACAACCAACAGATCAGCAGGGCAACACACAGGTTCAAAACCAAACAAATTTCAAGGTGACAAAGAGTACAGAATCTAGAGATAAAAAAAAACCTGGGGGTAGCCTTTAATCCTAGCATGAGCTTGAGGCCAGCCTGGTCTACAGAGTGACATCCAGGATGGACATCAAAGCTACACAGAGAAACCCTGTCTCAAAGAAAAAAAAGAAATAAATCTGGGTAACACTGACAAAGACACCTGTTGCTCAAGTTCTAAAAGGTCTTTTAATAAAAACCCGGAGCCAGATTAGGGTAAATGTTGAAAGATCAGAGAGACAAAGGAACAAGCCACTGCCACGTCTCACCTCACCAACTCCACGCACGAACCCTCTGACTCAAAGAATCTGAGTCCTCAGCTGAGAGGCCGAGGCAAAAAGGGCTTCTGCCATAAGGGCTACTGCCAAAAAGGCTTCAGGTGAAAAAGCTTTAGTTCCTGTCTCCTCATGCTTTATATCCCTTTCTCCGCCCAGCCATATCACTTCCTTCCTAGTGCTGGAATTAAAGGTGTGTGTGCGTCTCAAACAAAGGCATGAGATCTCAAGTGCTGGGATTAAAGATGTGTGCCACCACTGCCTGGCTCTGAATCAATCTCATGTAGTCCAGGGTGGCTTTGAACTGACCTTCCAAGTGCTAGGATTAAAGGCGTGTGCTACCACTGCCTGGCATTTATGTTTAATCTAGTGGTTCATTCTGTTCTCTGATCTTCAAGCAAATTTTATTAGGATACACTATATATCACCACAGACACTTAAGAAGGCTGATTACATAGTTTATGACCTTAAGGAGTTACTATTTTGATTCTTTTTTGGAGACACAAACTGCTTCCAGATGAAATATGATGCCTGGGTGTCTATCATAAAGCTACTCCTAAGGGGAGTGTCAGCATGAAGTGCGGGACTGAGCCATGCTAGGCTGTCAGGACACTGCGGAGCAGGGTGGGTGGGGATTGACTACACTTTCCTTACTACTTTCATGCTTGGTATCTTCCACTAAATCTTAACATATTCTGTCATTTTTTAAAAGCCATGTTATCTCAGACACATCATCTAGTTTTGTTGTTATTCTTTTCTTTTTCTGTTTTTTTGAGACAGGATTTCTCTGTGTTGCCCTGGCTGTCCTGGAACTCACTCTGTAGACCAGGCTGTCCTTGAACTCACAGTCCTCTTGTCCCTGCCTCCTGAATTCTGGGATTAAGGTCGTGCACCAGCCCAACCTGGCATCATTCTCATTATTTTACACTGTGAAAGCTGACCTTCCAGAGAGGCAATCATTGTCCTCATCTCGGAAATGGGCCACGTGGAGTCAGAAAGCCTACATGCCAATGGTAACAAATACTTCCTGCCGGGCGGTGGTGGCGCACGCCTTTAATCCCAGCACTCGGGAGGCAGAGCCAGGTGGATCTCTGTGAGTTCGAGGCCAGCCTGGTCTACAGAGCGAGCTCCAGGAAAGGCGCAAAGCTACACAGAGAAACCCTGTCTCGAAAAAACAAAAACAAAAACAAAAACAAAAACAAATACTTCCTGAGGAAGAAGCCTGACCTAGGACGAGTTAAGAACCAAGAGCCTGACCTAGGCTTCTTCACTGTCTTTTAATCATCTCTTTTAAGCACTCCAGGTTCTGGCTGGTCTCCTGTCATCAAAATCCTGCCAGGACCTGAGCCACTAGCAGCTCTGGTCCACTAGGGGGCACTGGAGATTCAGGCAAGGACTGTACCATGCAGCCTTCCATTCCACGCATCCACCAAAACACCTCAGCACCTGCAGATCTGATTTTAGCTGACATCCTCTCCTGCAGTCTCAGTCTCCCAGAATCTCCCTCAGAACCTGCCATCTGAATCACCACTTTCCTGTGTTCCTGGACAGCTGGTGCCAGCTCTATCAGCAACGGATCATGTGCTAGAGACGTCTGCTCACACCCGCATATCCCTAGCCACCAGACAGTGGGAACTGGCATTTCCAGCTTTACCCTGGTACCCGACGTAGGTCTTCGAGGTAACACTCACAGTGTGCCATGAACAGCACACACAGCGAGATCAGACAAAAGGGCGGGAACTGTTGGGCTGGAATGGCACAAGCAACGACACTGGGTAACCAGGGAGAATCACACAGAGGCTGGGCAGGCTGAAACTGGCAGCAGCTAAGGGACAAGGCCAACATTCATTTTCATTAGAACTCAGAAGCTCCAGTAATAGAAAACTCATATGGGAATTCCAGGCTGCTCCACAAAGCAGGACATGCAAGCAGGCTCACTCACCCTGATTGCTGAGTGGCAGAGAAGAGAGGTGACTTGTCCAAGGCCACAGGGAGAAAGTGCTGGAAGTGCTGAGTGAGTCTCTCCAGAAGTATGATAAAACATAATCTCTAAGAGACTGAATACTAAAAGACTTCTTTGAAGACAGGCATTTACCAGTTGTTGGAAAATGTTTATTGTGTAAATACCTACAATCTCATAGATGCTCCCACCTGGGCTCTTTCTAGAATGGGTCTGGGGCTTACCATGCAGACCAGCCTGTTCTCCTGGGCTTCCTTTTCAGAGCTGACCTCTGTAGCATCATCGCCTCCTACAATCCTCTCCCCGATGGCCCCACTGAGCCGCATGACCTCCACATGCAGTCGACCTGCCACCTGAGGGAAGGAGGCCAAACAAACACTGGTTTCCGACTTGAGTTCTCTCCCTGCAAGGACCTGCCTTCCTTGACAAAGCCGGGGGTAACAACGTGTGAACAACTAAGGTCATTTTCTAACAGCTGCTCTGCAGTCTAAGCAAAACAGGGGAAGCCTGCTCATAGCCCCATGGAAGTACAAGGTATCCATAACACAAATACTGATCATTAGTCAGGACTGGTCAAAAAACAGAGGTATTAATGACAAGTGTCCTGTCACCACCCACTCACTGTTCCCCTGACTGCTCTGCAGAATGAGGCAGAGTGAAAGCCAACCTCTCCCTTCTGGTTGATGATTGGCACAGCATACTGTAACTTCACATCATAAAACAGGGTCTCCAGGAAGACATTGGCCACACCAATTAGACTGTGGTTTTCCTGCTCATCATAGAATGGGTCAGCACGCTTGAAGTAGGACCGGATGACCTGAAAGAGATTTCAAACATACAACCTCGAGAGAAAAAGAAAATCACATAAAATAAACTCATTTGACCGATAACTTTACCACTATATCCTGACTCCTAATTAATTTTTTTTTTTTTTTTTTTTTGAAACATCTCACTATGCAGCCTTGGCTGGTCTGTAATGCACTATATAGACCACACTAGCTCTGAATTCACAGAGATCCTGTCTCAGTGTCTGAGAGCTTCTTTAAGCAGAAGTTTTGACATAGAAATAGACAAATACACAGACTAGCTGAAAAGAAAAGCTGAGAGCACTAAACCTCTTCACTGTTCTTTTAGGCAGGAAGATCCCACTAAACAGTTAAACACAATGCTGAGAATCAGCGCAGTGAGGAGGTCTTTTTTGCATTTTTTACACTATTTCTAAGTTTAAAAAAGGAGAGGAATACAGAAGAAAATTGCAAATTTAAGCAAAACTATCATCTAATCATAAAAAGCTATTTGTATTGATGGCAATATGAAAAAAGAATAAACGTTAAAAAAAAAAAAAAGCAAAAGGAAGAAGAGAAGTCCACATGGAAACGGGACCAGCAGAACTGCAAGCACCTGTACAGGCAGCAGGGTGTGGTGGGGCACTCCATAGTCCCAGCACTCAGGAGGCTGAGGCAGGAAGACAAGCTGGGCTCCAGGGAGCCCTCTCAAAAGAACAAATGTCTAGAAGAAAACAACAACGAAATACACAGGCTATATTTCTGTTTTAAGCATGTACAACTAAGGGCTGACCCAACGAGGAAACCTGGCAATAGAGGGGTCATCGCCAGCATGGATCTCGGGCACTTACTTTGGGATCAAATGCCTTCAAAACCCTTCCTAGCAGTGCCAATACCAGGGTGCCCTGATGACCGTGAGGCCATGGACTGTGGGGTAGCTGTCTGCAGTGTGCTGAGACGGCCTGCTTCCTGCCTTTAAGAGGACCCCAGAACAACCTGAGACAGACGCACTCACTAACAGATGGAAAGGGGAGATTCTGCTAGAACTCAAAAAGAAAAGAGGAGATCAAAAAGAAAACATGCAAATGACCAATTATTAAAATTCTTACTTAGCTCAACAACTTAGGGATTAAAATAAACTTTACTTTAAAATTAGAGCAACGATTTTGGAAAAGCATTCAGTGTCCCTGAGGCAGCAGATTCGATAGGACGTGGCCGCGTCTCAGACGGGCAGGTTAGCAACTCTGGAGTGACTCACCGGGCTGTCTTCCTCACACTCCTTCCACTCCTGGTAGAGGTCTCGCATATCCAGAAGCCTGTTTTCCAGCTTTTCCAAAGACCAAATCTGCTTTCCTTTGCCTTTCCTTCTCACCTGAATGGCAGGCTCACTGAGGAGAGAGCCTCGCTGCAGAGACAGGAGTTGGCAACAAGGCAAAGTTAGTCAAGATAGTTGGGTAACTTTTTTTTTCTTTTTCGAGACAAGGTTTCGTGTAGCCCAGGCTGGCCACAAACTCCTGATCTTCCTGTTTCTACATCCTAAAGCAGGAGTTCTCAACCTATGGATTGTGACTGTTTTGTGAGACGAACAGGGGTAACTAAAACCATCAAAAAAACTCAGGTATTTACATGATGATTCATAGCAGTAGCAAAATTATAGTGATGAAGTAGCAACAAAAATAATTTTATGGCTGGGATCCCTCACCACATGAGGAACTGTATTAAAGGATCGCAGCATTAGAAAGGTTGAAAATCACTGTCTTAAAGGCTGGGATTACAGGAGTGTGCCACCATTCTAGTCTAACAAACATTTATCTTTAGAAGTGTGAGGCTTTTTTTTATATTTATTTTATAGTGTGTGTGTGTGTGTGTGTGTGTGTGTGTGTGTGTGTGTGTGTGTGTGTGTGTACGCGCGAGCACGCGCTCATGTGTCATGGCACATGAGGTCAGAGGTCATCTTTCAGGAGTTAGTAGTCTCCTTCCAACATGTGGGTCCTGGGGATCAAACTCAGATCATCAAGCTCAGTGGCAGGCACCTTTACCCCGTGAGCCATCCTGCCAGCCCCCAAAACTGTGATTTTTTTATTTGTTTTAATCAATACTATCGTAATGCTTAATAAAGTAGATTTTTAAAAGAGTAGCCGCATGGAGCATGGAATGCTTACAAGAATAAATTATCTAGGGTACCCCAGGCACTCATTTGAGGGCAAAAAATACAATAAGTTTCCTAATTAAAACAACTGAAAAGGCAGAGAATCAGGCAAAGCCAGTGGTTGCACAACACCGCATATGTACTAAGTGCCACTGAAGCACTCTTTCTAGAACAGCAATGTTCCAGGTGTGGTGGTGCATGCTTATAATCCTACACTCAGGACACTGAGGAAAGAAGACAGAGCTCAAAGCCAGCCTAAACTATTATAACCACAAGATATAATCCAAAAATCCAAGAAGCTCATACCCGTACCTCAGAACTTGGGAGGCTGAGGCAGGAGACTTGCCTTGAATTTGAGGCCTTGTCTCAAACAACAACAATAAAGCAGGTCTGAAGAAAGGAAGATGAATGGGAAGAAACGATAGGTCCAAGGGAAGCAAGGAATACAGGCCTAGTGGCTAACAGTCACACAAGCATGCACATACAGACACACACACTCAGGAAATGAGAAGGGATGAACTCCCCACTGATCCAATCACTGGGTGGAGGAGCCCAGTGCAACCTCAGCAGTGGCACTTCTGCCATGCCTTACCTTCCTGTTGGCATCCAGGCTGGAGGCTGGAATCTGCAGGGTAACTTTATACTCAGTTCTTTTATCCAGCTCCTCTGCAATGTAACTAGCTTCTCGAACCAGCAGGTTGGCCTTTACAATCTGCTCCCTCAGCCTCATCAAGCTGTTATTCAATGTTGCTTCTCTTGAAGATAAAATAAAGTAGGGCTGGTGGGTGCAGGCAGAAACAACACACAAAACAGCATATGGGACACACGGTCACAGTCCGCTCATTCAAACTCTTCTGTACACTGGAACATGGCACTAACACCGCCCCATGCACACACTGGTCTCTGGACCACGTCACAGCACAGCACTCCTTGCATAGCCAGCTGGCCACAGGTAGGTGCAGGGCTCTGAAAACTCAACTGTGTATGAAACACCAAGCATCCTGATCAGTTCAAGATCTACTCAGTAGGACTGGAGACTCTACATGCCTCACTCTCCAGTCGACAGGAATGATGCCTGTATGCAGATCAGAGCAGCAGGAGGTTAGTGCTGCACTCTGGAACTGTGGGAGATGGCATTGAGTGCTATGCTAATTAGCCCATACACAGATCAAGCTAGTACTCTGCATCTTATTAGCATCGTGCTTTACCTACCTGACCTCATCAGTCCAGACTATCAATTTTCTTTCCCCCTTTCTTAAAAAGGGCCATCTACCAAGCTTCATAACCTAAAGCATGACACAAGGGTAAAGTAGACTTCTCTATTCAAAGCCAGAGGTCACACACACTGAAAATGAGCAGCATGGAACACAGCATTTGACTGGTGATGGTGGTGGTGTTTTCTTGAGACAGGTCTCTGTGTAGCCCTGGCTGACCTGGAACTTGCCCTGAGACCAGGCTGGTCTTGAGAAGACCAGGGATCTGCCTGCCTCTGCCTCCCGAATGTTGAGATTAGAGGCGTGTGTCACACATCCAGCTAACATGGGCTATTTTAAAGAAAGCTGAATGTACCAGCAATTCCCATCTTTCTTCCAAAACAGGAAAATAAGAGCTGGAATGTAGCTTGGTGGTAGAGTGCCTGCCTAGTATGCACTAGGCCATGGGTTCAATCCTCAGTGCTGTGAAAGGAAAACAGAGAGAAGAAAAAAGACGAATATAGGCAGCATGTGAGCGCAGATCTGCAATCCCAATGCCCAGGGTGTGGAGGCAGGAGGATTCTAAGTTCCAAGCCAGCCTATGCTACAGAGTGATTTCGAGGCCAACTTGGGAGATAGATATGTATAAAACTCTATCTCAAAATAACAACAAAAGAAAAATGGAAGAGGGAAAGGGAGAGGAAATAGACAGGGGAGAGGTGGCAAAGAGGCAAAGGAGGCAAAGGAGGAGGAGGAGGGAGAGACACAAAGTGACTCTTGGCCCTAACACTCTCTTGACTTGTTATTCTTGTGCAAGCATCACCCAGTGTTCCCATCCAGAACCTTCCCAGGTGGGGAGTACAAGCACTACCCAAATCAGGCTGTCCTGTGTGCCTACCTCTCCTCAGCCCACTGTCTCAGGCGCTGCTGGGCACTGGGTGAGTGGAAGGAGAGCCGGTCCACACCTCGGCAGTTCTGCCTCTCAGGAGACAGCCTTCTTCGGAGCTGTTCCAGCTCATGTTCGTACATGAGCCTCTGGCGCTCCAGAGCAGACCGCTTTTCCTCCTCATGCTGCTGTTCTAGGCTGTTCAATATGGACTGCATTGGATCTGAACATGTTAGAGTTAAAAAAAAAAGCATAATGAATAAGAAATTATGGTGTGGTAGTTTGAATGTAATTGGCCCCCATTAGCTCATAGGAAGTAGCACTATTAGGAGGTGTGGCTTTGTTGGAGTGGGTATGGCCTTGTTAGAAGTGAATCACTGTGGGGGTGGGCTTTGAGGTTTCCTATGCTCAGGATACTGCCCAGACCTCAGACCATTTCCTATTGCCTGCAAGATGTAGGACTCTCAGCTACTTCTCCAGCACCACATCTGCCTACATGCTGCCATGGTCCTTGTGCCATGATGGTAATGGACTAAACCTCTGAACTATAAGCAAACCCCCCTCCCTCAATCAAATGTTTTCCTTTACAAGAGTTGCCATGGTCATGATGTCTCTTCACATCAACAGAAACTCTAACTAAGACATATGGTATACTTCAGACATTCATCATTTGAACTGCCACAACCTGATGTATTTCAGACAATTTGGAATGAGTGCGGCTTTCTCACTGCCAGTTACTTGTGTTACATACTTTAGATAGATTCCACACTGTCTGCAAAGCAGCAAAAGAGAAGGCTAAAATATGTTCTATGCAGAACCTAGGTCATGGCAAATGCTCCAGAAATATAAGAAGAAGCCAAAGGCAGTCACACTTCAAACCTGGGCAATTCCACCCATAAGGGCAAGTTTGCAGTGATTTCTCTATCACAACAGAGAGAGTGGACAATCTGTAAGTACAATCAATTATTCCCGCCAAGGACACAGAGTTCAGAGGTCATCAAGGGAAAGGTGTCATCAGAAACATGCTCAGCACCCGCTGCAAGCACAGCCCATGCTCACCGTTGCTGCCAAGGGCCTTCATGGTCACCTCCATCTGTGCATACTCGAAGTTGAAGTTGACCTCGCTGGACACCTCACTGGAGGAGTCCCCGTCAGCATCCAGGTGCTCACAACTGCTGTCGTTCTTCAGGGAGGTCTCATGCTCCTCATCCTCTTGTTCAGCTTTCTTTTTCTTTTTTGGCAGGTTGAGTCTTGGGGTAAAAAAAAAGGTCATTACTTTTTAAATTTCTAAGAAGGATGCTTGGGGCTGGAGAGATGGCTCAGAGGTTAAGAGCACTGGCTGTTCTTTCAGAGGTCCTGAGTTCAATTCCCACCAACCACATGGTGCCTCACAACCATCTTGTAATGAGACCTGGTGCCCTCTTCTGGTCTGCAGGCTGAACACTCACTGTATACATGACAAATAAATAAAATTTAAAAAAAAAAAAAAGAAAGATGCTTATTCATTCCATCCCTTACACACTGTCATTTGCTAGAGGCAAAGGGAATGTCTCAGCAGTACCAAGAAGTTGCTGCAATTAGGAACTTCATACTCTAGAAATAAAACATCCTCATGTGTACAAGTGCTTACAGCAAAGTCCACACAACTTCTGCAAACCAGGTGAAAGAGAAAAGCTCAGGACCACAGCAGGACAAGAACGAGATATGCTGACAAGTCTCAGGAGACCTTATATGTAAAACACCACAGTGCACACAAAAGCCTCAGGAACCACCTGAAGGTCTGGGAGACTAGGCAGCAACACTTTAGTGTGGAAGAGAAAAAAAATGAAAAGCATTTCCCATGAGCTTGTATCCTTCTAATCTTTCCTGTAAGATCAAGACAGCAAGTGACATACAAGTAAAGATCAGCATCAGTTATGAGCAAAGTCCATTAGCCAGCAGGACATTGGCCAGGGACAGAAAGAAGAGACCAGCGTCTGAACGCTACAGCAGCTCACCTGCCTCACCATACAATAAAAAACCCACCATGTTTGGGGCACAGTGTTGCAGTCACAAGTGAGAGCCTTCCTTTGCAGACTCCCTTGCAACTACTAGACAGAGTCTACCCAAGGAAACTAAAGGGAAGATTTCTGGTGCCCTGACAAGAGGACAGCAAGGCTGTCCTTTGCTGCCCTTTTGTCCCTGTGAGCTGAATGCTTCTTTCATGGCTGCAGGGGCACAGCTAATCCATGGAGAAGTGCCAAGAAAATGGTAGACCACAGCCATGGCCTTTCTGAGAAGCACAGCCCACTCTAGCAGCCTTCTCCCTGAGGGCTTCTCACTGTCAGGAAATATACGACCTGCTTAAGCCATCAGTGCTCAGTGTGCTGGGACTTGTTGAAAGTGTGGTCAGAGAAACCACCAACCTCCTCGAGAGGATAAGGAAACTACATCCAGTGTTTCTACTACTGCTTTTTCAGACAAAAGAAAAGAGGAACAGTGTGCAGACAGATGACTGATGGACAGACGTACAGCAAACCCAACAGGAAAAAAATGAATTAATTCTGATACCAGATTGAGGGAAAATCTTACACTGGGAATAAAAATAAACAAATAAATAAACTCAGTACTTTTGATGAGGAGACGTGTTATTCTAAGCCCCCAGGGTTCACATATATGAACAGACATACAAGCCATGCATACAACATATACACACAAGCATGAATACACATATAGTAAGGTGTCATTTTATGCCATTCACACTTAAAATGAATCTTCTGTTTCAGAACACAGTCTTTAATGGCCTCCCACCTTCAGGAATGTGAGCCATGCCATACCTGAAGAAATGGTTGTTTCCCCATAGTATCCTGTCCCCATGGTGCAGCTGGATGGGGCTGGAGACAGAAGACCCATTTACAAATGTTCTGTGGGGAAAAGGGCAGCATGAGCAGGATGACCATACTCTCGGCTTCCACCATCTCCTACTACAGTTATGAGTATTCATTTCCTCAACAAAACCTGCCTACCCTTGGTGAAGTTAAACATGTGTAGTTACATCTCTATACTTACCTCAAATGCTGAGGACATTAAGCATTGTTATTTTACAGTCCTCAAAGTTCTAAGCATTATATAGCCCACTTCACACACTGATGGCACTGTCAGAGAGAGATCAACCTCTGTTTCTCAAAGCTCTGAACATCTTAGATAGCAGTGGGGAGTAAATATGGAGCTGTGACAGGTAATAATGAAAGACAGAGCAAGGAAACAAAGCAGAGCCAACCCAGACGGATAAAGAGCCCGTCAAGAGGCCAGATTCTAGAGACGTTGGTAGACACCAGGGATGCAACAGGAGATCTACAGGGGACTCTGAAACCGCCCACAGTGGAGAGCATCATCCATGTCCTTTCCAGTTCAATAACAGACTTCAGTAGTAGACATGGTGGGTAGAACACTAGCAGGGGAGGAATTTGGAAGGACAGAAACAAGTGGAAAACTACGCCTGTGCATATTCCCTGGATACCAGCCCCACGCCTCTCTCCTGCCAAGTGACTCACTGGCTAAGAAACAGGACATCAAGTACAAATTCTTTAACTGGACATGGAAGGCCGTTCCTTCCTTCCACAAGGAGGTCCTCTGTATCTCCTTCCTTCCCTCTTCCAGTGAGCCTTCAGCGCCTCTGAAAACATTTCTTTTCTGTACACTAAGCACAATCAACTCTTCCTCCACTGGGGAGCCTATCAGTCCCTGGAATCATTTATTGCTTCATCAAGAAACAAGGTCCTGCCCCTCTCCAGCCTCTGAAAGAAGGTCCCACCCTCTCCAGTCTCCAGAATCTTTCTCACAGTCCAAATCCACTTTGGATTCCATTTCCTCGGCAGAGTCTACTGAACACTCTGGTCTCTGAGTCTTTAAACTCTGTAAAGCACCTTGCTTGTTTGGTTTTTGAGACAGGTTCTTACTATATAGAGTTTGAGCGCAAGATCCTTCTGCCTCAGCCTCCTTGGTTCTATGCTTATGAGCACATGCCACCACATGACTAAGCTATGGTCTTACCTGGCTTTATGTGTTCACAATTTTCCATGCATTTCCATCTGCACAAACTCTTACTCCCACTCAAACCTTGCTCTCCATGTGATTCTTAAACATTAACACTGACCCTTTTGCTTCTGTCTGAATGAACATTCAAAGTACAAGATCAAATATAAAGCTGTGATGTGCTAAACTTCACACACCTAAGGCTTTATGGTACCATTCTTCAAATACAATGAGTTAAGAAAGGAAAGCAGGAGGCTGGGCGTGGGGGCACAAGCCTTTAATCCCAGCATTTGGCAGAAGCAGGTGGACCTCTTGTGTTCAAGGCCAGACCTGTCTACAGATCGAGTTCCAGGACAGTCAGGGCTATACAGAGAAATTTTGCATCAGGAAAAGAAACAGAGAGTGGGGCCGGGGAGAAAGAGAGAGTGAACACGGCTTACTTTGGGAAAGCACTGCAGTGACATCATGATTTAAGAAACTATAAACCAGTTCTTAAAGGTCAATGGACATGAGGTCCCCATGACAGAAACTGCTTCCACTGCAGCAATGGCCCATCTCCTATGCTGTCACTCATACAGACCACGTCAGTCATCAGCCTGTCTGACACTCATATAGACCATGCTGGTCACCCGCCTGTCCCCTGTGCTAACACTCATAGACCATGAGCCACCCTGCTGAAGCTGTACACACAGCGAGGCTTCGACAGCAAATGCAGTCTTGTCAGAGAGAAGTGTTCCACCGGACTATCCTAGGATCAAGCAGTATGGCATTGTGTAAACCCTGACCCTGAGCATACAGCACCTTTACTCTCTCAACTGACAAGATGAGAAGCTTCCAGAAAGCACCACTGCATTGTGCCAAAAACAGTGACGCCTTAACACACACAAAGCAGCACTTCAATCTTCCAGGTGAGCAGTGAGCAGAGGGAGCCTGGTGCCAAGGAAAACAACTGGCAGCATTCATTGCCAGCAACAAAATTGCACCTTTTGACAAGAACTTTGAGTTCTGGAAAATTTTTGTCCATATCCTCCACCCAAAGACCACTGGGAAGCTCTCCCAAGTTGAACTACTTGGACTTGTCATTCAGACTTGGGGGCAGTATGTGGAATGTCTGCCTGTGGCAGTGCCAGGGTGCCAGGAAGGACCTGGGGTAGAACTGTGCTTTGGCTGGATGAGGAGAGGGTTTAGGAATTACTGCCATCATTAAAAATGTAGCTAACAGGGACTAACTCAACAAGTAAACACTGGCAGAGCTTAGCCCTAAAAGTCAAACGGGAGCTGACAGGCCAAAAGAATGGCAGCGGGAAGGGGAGATAAATGGGGGATTTTAGGGACTTCCTCCCAACCAGAGGAGAGCCTGCCAGCTGAGCAGTAAATGAAAGCAGCCTAGAGTGGTAGAAAAGGTTCTAATCAAGGCACAGTGAAGGGGGCTGGAGAGATGGCTCAGTGGTTAAGAGCATACTGCTCTTCCAGAGGACCTGAGTTCGATTCCTAGCACCCCTGTCAGGTGGTGGTGAGCTTCAGGGAATCTGACGACTCTGGTCTCCTTAAATACCTGCACCCATGTGCATATCCCCTGACACACATATACATACACATAATTTAAAAGTAAATGAGTATTTTTTAAAAATGAGGCCATGCGAGTGGGCAATGGGCGTGTGAGAGGTGCTGAGATTAAACAGGAAGAACCTGACACATAACAGGGTGTCTTACGTGAGCTGAAAATGAAAGCAGGCCCATGTCCCTCATCCCCGCCCCCCTGCACCTAGTGTAATTCACGCTAACTTAAGCATGTTACCTGGTATTCTTCTGAGGGGTCAGCATGACCTGGCCTTCAGGCGTGATGTCTATGATACAGTGCTCGGGAAGAATGCCCATCCCGCAGAGCTGGATGTCCTGGGAATTTGCTGACCCTATCAGTGTGTGCTCCTAGGAAAGAGGCAGAGTTCCCTATGAATTAAGACCAGCTTCATTCAGCCCCCTCAGGCACAAGACTCTGAATGCAAATGAGTGGTGGCCCCTGACATTCATTCCATGAGTTCTGGATCCTTAAAATATGCGATGTCCCTCAAGTTGTTGTCAAAATACAATCTTACATTCATGTCTGTCTACATTTGTTATTTCTCTTACCATCTTGATTCTAAATATTTTATACCACTCTCAGAGCATAAGCCATGTATCAACAATATATCAAAATATGGTCTAACAACTACAGTTACAGAGCTGGCCCTGGTTGGACAGTTGAAGGATCTGGAACTGCACAGTAAGTTCAAGGCCAGCTTTAGCTACCTGAGACTGTTTCAGGAGAGAAAAGAAATGGGGGGGGAGAGAGGGAGGGAGGGGGGAGGGAGGGAGGGAACTAATTACAATGAGACCACTACAAAGATAAAAGCTGCTTAGAGACAGTATCTGGGGCCAGCAAAATGGCTCAGCAGGTTAGGGCACTTGCTGCTAAGCCTAACAAACTGTTCAATCCCCAGAAGAAAACATGGAAGAAAGAGAGCTGACTTCCACAAGTTTTCTGCTGACCTCCACATATGTGCCTCATTTTAGACACTTCCTTTTTTTTTTTTTTCTAAGATACTTTCCCCTTAATTTTGAAGTGTTTGAGTGTTTTGCCTGCATGTGTGTCTGCACCATGGGCAGGCTGTGCCTGTGAAGACCAAAAGAAGATTGCAGATCCTGAGGGACTAAGGTCACAGACAGTTGTGAGCAGGCATGTGGGTGCTGGGAATTGAACCCAGGTCCTCTGGAAGAATAGCCAGTGATCTTAACCACTGAGCCATCTCTCCAGCCCTTCTATCTGGGCTTTTAATATTATATCTTCAGAACTCGACCAGCTACCTAGTCACTGTCACATTGCCCCAGGTTAATCCCTTACCGGACACTGACTGAGGCCTCTGGCCCACCAGAACAACTAGCATGGAAACTGCACAGGCTGGTATAACCTGATTTCTCCCTCCTCTGAGCCTCTGTGACACTTAAGAACCAGTAATTACTGAGTTACTGTTTTGCAAATGCTGTTTTCCTCCTTGTTTGGACTGTAAACTACCAAAGACTCCTGCAGCTGTACAACCAACACAAGACAGTCTGCAATGGCGCTGGTATCCGTAGACAGCGAATTACGAGTCAGCAGAAACAGGAGACACCAACTCAAACAGGGAAAGTACAATCCAAGTTCTACGGAAAGAAAGTCTTTTCTTTTCTTTTTTTTTTTTTTTCTTTCTTTTTTTGGTTTTTCAAGACCGGGTTTCTCTGTCTAGTCTTGGCTATTCTGGAACCCACTCTGTAGACCAGGCTGTCCTTGAACTCAGAGATCCACCTTCCTCTGCCTACCCAGTGCTGAGACTAAAGGTGTGCACCACCACCACCCAGCTAGAAATCCACTTTTTTCACCAAATACTTTGCATATCAAATATGTGAGAAGCACTGGATCCCTAGAGACACAAGAAACTGTCAAGTCCCAATTAGAGTTTATATCATAAAGAACAATCTCAGTCTCTCACTTGAGGTTACAATCTATTATGATTTAGAAGGTACACTAGGATCCCAGACACTAAATTCAAAAGACTCAGCTCTGCCAACTCTTTACTGCTCAAAGTCAACAGTACACTCTAAGCAACAGGGGAAAAAAACAGATGCAGAAATTTCTCACAGGCTATCTCCTTGGTATATACACAGGCCTATAATCCCAGCACTTAGGCTGAGGCAGGAAGACTGCTAAATTCAAGGTCAGCCTGAGATCCAGTCTCAGAAACATGCTCCACTCCACTCTACCCAAAAAAAATTATCTAATGAGTACCTAAAGCTGGAATGGGATGACACACGGTAAGCAAAACAGGATGAGTTAATAAGGAACTGTATCTCTGTGTGTAAGACAGGGCCCAAGTATTCCAAAAGGTAACAGTATAAGGTATAGCAGAATACAGATGGAGGGGTACATTCTGGAGGAGAAAATCCTGTTACTTGGACACAGGAGGACATCAGAGATGTTTTAATCTGGAACCTGCATCTGCAGATGATGTGGGGAAAGTCACCTGGAGAGAGGAAGTCATCACATCCATTTAAACTGACTTAGAAGTTGCAGGCTAAGAAAAAAAAAGTGCAGCCTCCAAATTCCCCCATCCCACATGGTGGCATTTTCTAAAGAGAGACCATTCTTGGACTGTGCTCACCCTCCTGAATGTGCCTTGTCATGAGTATGGACTTGCCATCGGAGCCTGGCACTGCCTCAGACTGGGCTCAAAAGGGGCTGACCATTCTGGAAGAGAACCAGTTTTCTCCACACAAGGGACCAGAAATGTTCTGAGTCCTCCAAAAGTCCCTATCCAAATAGCTGCTGCTGACGTACAGTTTTTACTTACAGAACAGATATCAGTTGGGTTGCTTTTTGTGGGTTATTTTGGGTTTTTTTTTTCTGTGTATCCTGTAATTTGGACTGTACCACCTCTGAAGGAAAAGGAATTCCTAACTCTGGGAACCCCAAAGAGGCAGTGTGCCTCAGTCCTACTTTACTGTGCATATTCCCTGAGTCCATGAGTGTCTGTAGCCTCTGTTCTAACTCAGGATGCTGGGCTGGGAGAGACAGCATGCCTTGCCTTGTAAGCAGGAGGACTTGAGTTTGATCCCAGAACTCACAAATGTCATGCATACTTCCTCTCCCAGTCCTGAGGAGGGAGAAATAGGAGGGTTCCTGGGGCTCACCTGCCAGGCAATCTGACCATTGAGAAATGCTGTCTCAAAGGAGGTAGATGTCTTTCATGAGCATGACACCCAAGGTTGTTCCCTGATCGTCACATGCATGCCCACACACACGTCTGTGTGTACATGTGCACACACACAGAGATACACAGCATATTTTAAAAAAGATGCTGCCAACACTGTTCAAAAGAGAATTGTGACGATGTATTATTTTTAATTTTTTATTTACTTTATGTGTATGGGTACTTTGGCTGCAAGTATGTCTATGTACCACTTGCATGCCTAGTACCATTGGAAGCCAGAAAAAGGCACTGGATCCCCTAGAACTGGTGTTACAGACAGTTGGGTTTTTTTGGTTGGTTAGTTGGTTTTATTTTGAGAGAGGGTTTTACTATGTAGCTCTGGTTGTCCTGGAACCCTCTATGTAGAACAGGCTGGCCTTGAACTTAGAGATCCTCCTCTTGCCTCTGCCTCCCAAGCGCTGGAATTAAAGGTCTGCACCACAACACCCAGCTGTAGTTACAGACAGCTGTAAGCCACCATGTGGGTGCTGGGAATCAAACCCAGGTCCTCTGGAAGAGCAGCCAGTGCTCTTAACCACTGAGCCATCTCTTCAGCCCAACACATTATTTTTAATAGGCAAAAATAGCATGTGTGGAAGAAAGCAGAATAGAGAATACAGTATAGTTGTATAGTGTTTCTGTCTATAAAATCTGCCCATATATACAGTCTTCATATGAACCTAGGAAACTAGCCAGAGGCAACCTCCTCCAGTGTGTAAAGACAGAACCAGAAAAGCCTTGCTCTGCACTAGATATGCACTCATTCATGTAGGTGTCAAAGACATTATTTAACTCATAGCATTGCCAAACACTATAAGAGATACTTAGTTTTAAAAAAAAAAAAAAAAGGTGGGGGTACTTATCAAAATGACACTAAGCAATTATTTCAGTGTATCCTTGATGAAAAGGAAGAAAGTAGCTGTGCTGGTTGGATCTTTGTCAGTTGTTACTTGACACAACTAGAGTTCTTTGGGAAGACGGAACCTAAATAGAGAAGATGCCTCCATCAAACTGCCTGGGGGCAAGTCTATGGGCATGTCCTTGATTAATGGTTGATGCGGAAGGGCCCAGCCCACCATGGGCAGTGCCACCTCTGATCAGGTGGTCCTGGGTGCTAATAAAAACAACCATGGGAGCAAGGCAGTAAGCAGTATTCCTCCATGGCCTCTGCTTCAGCTTCTGCCTCCAGGTTCCTGTCTGTAGTTCCTGTCTGGGTTTCCTTCATGATGGACTGTAAGCTGAAATAAACCCTTTTCTCACCAAGGTGCTTTGGTCATGGTTTTTTATCACAGTACTAGAAAGCAAAAGGACACTAGCTAATGTGAGTGTTCTTAGAAGTGAAATTACACCATCTTGACAACTGTCTCCAACTTTATCAAAGCCAGCTCTGCTTTCCTAGCCACGTTAGTCCATGTATCTGTATCCGTGAAGGCAGTGCATTCACCTTTAAGTAGTACACCAGGAGCTCATTCAGAGCGGGGTCAGCGTTCAAGTTAACCAGGAAGCACTTGTCGTCCCCAACTTTGATTCCAGAAGTCTGAAGAGATATCCCAAGGCTCTCAAGCTGCTTCTGCCGCTCCTGCAAACAAATACACCAGAGAAGTGGTGATTCCCAGCCACAGAGGCAGCACAACACAGAGGATCTGACAGTATCGGAAGACTGTCCCACATCTTTATCATTCAATGAAAAAAAAGCATTCTTGGAAAAAATAAAGATGATCATATTTTTCTCTTTCCAAATGTATAAAAGTTTCACTTTGCCAGAATGAAGGTCAAAGCACCCCTATAAAGTTCATAGGGCCCTTTAACCTGGCCCATGTCCTCTCCTCCATATCTTATCACACTCACTTTCCCACACTGTACCACCATGAGCTACACAGAACTTAATGTCTCCTCTCAGGTCACGGTCATCAGAGTCACTGACCAGTTCCACAACAGTGTAAAATAAAAACATTAAAATAAATTTAAAGTTAAAAATTAGGACTTAGCAAAAATAGATATCTGTATCCACCCCTCCCCCAACACAGGCTCAGCATCTATCAAGGAAGAAGAGACAGAAAGACTGTAAGAGCCAGAGGTTGGAAAGGAGCAAGATGAAACAGCGTCCTCTGGTCATAGCAGGACCACTACAGTCCTGAACTCACTGCCGCTATGGTGCCTCCATAAACCTGTCCACAATCAAGCCAGGCACCATTCCAGAATGGAGGGGGTAGGGGCTCAGGAGTCCCCACCCAAAATTAGTGACAGTAGACGGCTGCTGTGGAGGGAAGGCCAGTTTTCTAAGGGTATGGCACCTGTTAGGTCAACCATGCCCCAGTGAAGGGCCACGCACCCATGAGTATATGCACAATACAGAGTTAGGAGGAAGGAGTGGGAAGTGACTGTGATCACAACACATTGTATGCATGCATGAAATTCTCAATAAACATGTGTAGCTCAGTAGTGGGGTACCTGCTTAGCATGTATGGGGTCTTGAGTTCAATCTCCAGCACAAATAAGAAATAACTACTGATACTACAAAACTAATCATTTCTCATATAGAAACAAGCTACTGAAGCTATGAAATCTTTACCTTCAGACCGGTTCTCTGAAGTGCAGCCCTAGGGGACCTGCAGGCCCATCAATGTGCTAGCTTTGCCTCACCACCACCCGAGTCCCACAGCAAGCTGCCCCCAACACAAACCTGTGCGATCTCCTCAGTCTTCCTTAGTTTCTCCTCCCAGGTCACGGTCATTTCCTGGATGAGCTTCTCGGATTCTTCCAGACGGTCTTTCAGCTCCGGAGATTTCATTGCCTAAAAACAAAACATTACATTGAAGTGTCTGTTTGGCAGCAGGAAAGAACAATCAGCTGGCTGTGAAAGGACAGGGCTACTGCCTGCCACTGAGTTCTCCACCTACCTATGGAAGGTAGTGGCCATCAGGGACCACAACGCCTATAACAGGAAAACTACAGACCCAAGAATCAGCTATGACACATTCATAAAGACAACTTAACTCTTCCCTTTCCTCCAGCCTACTGTGAGGATTTCACTGTTTCAGGAGATAAACCTAATGACTTTAATTCCAATAGGTTGTACATCCAGACTCATGGGCACTGCTTCATCTCAGTCTTCCTAATGGTGATGTCAGGAATGTGCTCAAGGCTACACAAGTTACTTGTGTGCATGCTGCAAACTGGACAATGTTAATAACACTTCATCTAAGCCATAAGGCAGAGAAGCGACCAGATGGTGTTATTAATAAAGAGAAGACAGAAACCACATCCCCAAGGTTCTTGAAGAACTATAAAATCAGGATAAAATTCAATAGGAAAAAAACGAACTAAATCCATGATCAAGGTAATTGTTATGACCATGTGGCTTCTTGATTTTCTACCACAGTTAGAATAATGAGACAGGAAAGGGCTATGGTGCCAGCTCCAGGGACAAGGCCCTGGGACAGACACACTAACCACAGCAGGAACCCTGAGAATGACAGTTCATGCTAACACAGGAAAGTGCTTGCATCCAGACAAGCACTGTGATCTTCAAACCCCGTTACAGAACCTAAGCATCACCTGACACAGAGTGAATGGAGACCGCTGCACAGAACACCTCCAAGCTCTGGCTACGGCTGTCCTGAAACGCTTTACAGTATTACTCTCCAAACATAACTCACCCATAACAGGGAAGAGTGCATTATAAAGGTGAGGGTGTCTTCTGTTCTAACTGCAGGCTAACAAATGAAAAAAAAGAAAAATCCATCCAATTCCCTTTCCCCACGACTGTAAGCCCAGTCAGTTTCTGCACAAAATTAAATCACTTATCTTGTCCCCACTGTCTCTCTTTCTCTCCTCTTATTCTAGTCTGTCAGCTTCCTGGACAGAAATGGGAAGAAACGTTTTTCCTACTCCCCATATTCTCTCTTATCCAATCCTTTTCAACAGTCATAAAAAACTAAATTTCAAACATGGCAACCCAATTCAAACTTCTCTTCCCATAGGGAATTCCAGAGTTCCGAGCAGAGTACTGCTCAAGAAAAGACCAGAACAGGGGAAGAAAATCCACATTCCAGTTTGCCATGGCCCTCGGTGACACAGAGCCCATCCGGCTGTGCCTCACACCTCTGCCTTGGTCAGCTGCTCCCGGAGCTTCTCCACCTCTTCCCGGAGATCTCGGATAATTCTTGCGTTAGGATCCTCATTCACCACAGCGTGGTTGACGATGTGCTTTGCTCGATCTGCATACCTCAGGGTTGACAGGGTTTCGTCATAGTTATCAGCGGCTGGGCTCACAGTGGCCACCATGGCGGTCTTGCTATTACCCCCCAGACTGTCCTACCGGGAAGAACACAGTGAGGAGTCTTTTAAAGCTGGAAGAAGACATCACATAAGAAAGCTGAAATCTGAAAGACTAAAACAGTCCAAGGCCAAGCACGGAAAGAACAGAATGGAAGCTAACCTGCAGACCCTCGTGAGGCTCAAGCCTGGGGCTCTCTCTTCTCTGCCAATTACTTTCTTTTCTTTTTTTTTGGGGGGGGGGGGAGATGGAGGTGGCAGGTGGCAGGGTTTCTCTATGTAGTCCTGGCTGTCCTAGAACTCACTCTGTTGACCAGGCTGGCCTCAAACTCAAGAGATCCACCTGCCTCTGTCTGCCTCCCCAGTGCTGGGACTTAAGGCATGAAAACGGAAGCAGGTCCTCGAGTTCTGCCCATCAGCATGGAAATGAGCAACACTCTCACTTCGGGGTCAGGCCTCCAGATGACTACAGCCTTGCTTCATACTTGGACTACAGCACATATGGCCCTAGCCCCAAGCACATAAGACTGCCTGTGGAATCCTGACCTACAGAAACTGTCAGATAATGACTGCTGGTCCCGCTATCCAGTTAGGGAGTAAGGTGTTACAAGATAGTAGATAACTGCAGACATTACCATACCATGCAAGGCTTGGGAGCATCATAAAAAATGAAACTAGCCTGGCAGTGGTGCACTCAGGAGGCAGAGGCAGGTCTCTGGGTTCTAGGTCAGCCTGGTCTACAGAGCAAGTTCCAAGATACCCAGGGCTACACAGAGAAACCTTGTCTGGGGAAGGGTAGGACCTCCCTAAATAAGAGTCGGAGCTGGGGCGATGGCTCAGTGGGGAAAGTACTTGCCATACAAGAATCAGGATCAGAGCAGATTTCCAGCACCTGTGTAAAGCCCAAGTAGACAGTAGCCCACCTATAATCCCAGAGCATGGGAAGCCAAGACAGGGTTCCTTGGTGCATGTTAGCTAGCTAGACTAGCTAAATCGGTAAGTTCTGGGTTCAAATGAGAGACTGTCTCAATGTATAAAGTAGAGAGCAATAAAAGAAGATACCCCCATATCCCTGGACCATCACATGCACACATACGAAATGCATGCACACCCATACACACACACCACATACACACACATAAAAATATATTCAGGACTTAGAGAAAGATCAGTCACTAAAGTACTTGCCTTGCAAATGCAAGGACTTGAATTCAGTGCCCCCAAACCATGTGAAAAGCTAAGTATATGTCAGGCAGTGGTGGTGCAGGCCTTTAATCCCAGCACTCAGAAGGCAGAGGCAGGCAGATTTCTGTGAGTTCAGTTACAGATTGAGTTCCAGGACAGCCAGGGCTACACAGGAAAAGAAAAAAAAAAAAAAGCTAAACATGATAGTGTGCACTTGCAATCCCAGTGCTAGGCAGGTGGGGAAAAGGCAGATCCCTGGGACTTGCTGGCCAGCCTGACCATTAGATGAGCTCCAAGTCAGTGAGAGAGACCCTGTCTTGAAAACAGGTAAGAATCTAGGGAGATTGCTCAGCAGTTCAGAGTGTGCTCTCACAGAAAACCTGGGTTCAGTTCCCAGCACCCACAAGGTGGTTCACAACTGCCAGTAACTCCAATTTCAGGGGATTCTGATGCCTTCTCTTGCCCCTACATGTCTGTGATGCATATAAAATGGGCAAACATTATATATATATATACATATATATACGTATATATATACACATATATACACACAAATAAAACTTTAAAAATGTCTTTAAAGGTGTACAGAGCTTGGGTAACACCACCCAAGGTTCATCTTGCCTCCACATGCATACATGCATGCACATGGACCCATACATATATGAACACATAAAGATTCAATATCCCCTTTCAGAAATGCAATCTCAATGAATGACAGATTCTCAAAATCAGAGAAACATTCACTACATCACAAGAAAGCTGACCAGACTTTGGCCAATATTCATCTTTAGAAAACTCTTAATTTTGAAGTATAGTTTTTCCAATTTTAATACATATAAAATTTGTTAGAAATTTTTGTAGTTTTACATAGTTCTCTGCCTTTTTAAAATTCAATTAGTACCCCCACTTTACTAGTGAGAAAACAAGTTTGTTCTAAAAATGAAAACAGACAAAAACAAACAAACAAAAAAAACCACCAACAGGCTGCCTAACAATCTAGAACTAGACTGAGCAATTCTCTACCCCAGGTGTTTTCCACCTTCCATTCCAAACTGACCTCTCCTCCCCCACAGCCACCCACAACAAGCTCTTGGCAACCACCGCAACTTCAGGCCTGAGGGCCAACACCGCACCAAATTATTCTGTCCTGTTATTAGAAACAAAGTTAATTTCCAAGGCATCAACAGCTCAATACAATCACAGACATGTGTATGCTTACTCATCCCTTACTGAAAATTTAGTTTTCAAAGAAAACAGAGATAATTATATTGAAGAAAGTAAGTTCTGATGTATAGAAAGGTGGGAAATGGAACCAGTCTGGACTTTCGGGAGTACAAGCCAGGACTGCTAGATTCTCTTTTCACTCCTAGACGCTGATGTCACATTGTCAACGCTCCATTTTGTCTAAGAAGTCCCATGCAGATTAATGACATTCAGATGGGACAGGAAAGTCTCAGGGCCTGCAGTTCCACCCACCAGCAATGCCACACATCGCCCTAAGGGCTACTGCAGGCTGCCTATGGGCACAGCAAACACGGACGACAAATGGGACTTGTAACCATAACTACCGGGGCAAAAGCAAGCTGCCACTGTGCTCAGGCTGAGAAAAGGAAACTGGCATCCCATGCCTGATTTACTAAATGACCATGGAGCAGCAATATGCTCATATTGCCTTGAACAAAAAGGAAACCGTAACAAAAGAATGGGCAGGCATCCAAGAGAGAGTTTACAGTTTATTCTTTACTCTTTAATTAAGCAAATCAAACCAGCTTTGTTTCAAATGTGGCAATGCACATTAAATGGACACTGGGAAGAAATTTCATTTTAGAAGTCAAATTTTTCTTTGCAAGCTGAAAGAACTCTGAAGTCATCTAATCAAATTACTTCATTGTTCCACTAAGAGGCTGAGTCCCAGAAAGGCTGAGAGATTTAGGGAAGGTCAGAGTGCTAGTTCAGAGCAGAGCGGGGATTGTTTGTTCCTCGCCTCTCATGGGCTTTGCCATCTAATGGGAGAGGCAGTGCTGTAGAAGAGCTAGACCCAGGATCTTTCCAAAGAGAGGAAAGAACCCAGAACAGAAGAGACTGCAGAGCTCCAGGTGAACCAACACTGGCAGGTACAGGAGAGAAGCAGGAGAGGTGGAAGTGATTACGGTGCACACCTTTAATCCCAGCACTCAGGAGAAAGAGGCAGGTGGATCTCCATGAGTTCGAGGCCAGGCTGGTCTACAGAGTAAGTTCCAAGACAGCCCTGCTACACAGAGAAACCCTGTCTCGGATGGATGGATGGATGGATGGATGGATGGATGGATGGATGGATGGATGGATGGATGGATGGATGGAGCCCTAAAGTAAGAAAAGTAAGACAGCCATCTTCACTCATTTAGAATCTACCATGCCAGAGGGCACAAGATGAAAGCTAGGAGGAAAGGTCAGCTAGAGCGGGCCTTTGTAAGCCACTCATTAAAGAACTTGGCCTTGATTCTAAGGGCCTGGAGGACAGTTACTGAAGAGATTTAATGTTCTGGTGAATTTAGAAATTGTGGAGAGTGGATTAGACAAAGAAAGTCCAAGGGAAATGGCTATCAGCTAGGTGAGAGATCCACACAACATCCACTAGGGACCAGACATTAAGAACAAAAGTGGGGATTAGCTCTCACAAAGTGTGAGCAGAGCACACGTTAGCAGACTTGGGGTTAAGAGATCCACACTCAGACGGGGATAAACATCAAGTGCATAGCACAAATATTACGTAAATGTCGTTCAAACACAAACTAAGCATGCAAATCTTGTCAAAAATGAGCAGTTTGGTGCTGGGGAGATAGCTCAGTCAGTAAAAGGTGTAACTCCCAAGCATGAGGACCTGAGTGTGGCCCCAGCACCTACACAGAAAGCCTGGTGTGGTGGCACATGCCTGTGATCACTGCAGTGAGGAGTCGAGACAGACAAATCTCCAGAGCACACTGGCCATTCAGCCTATCCTAATTACCTCACCCCAGATACCACTGAGAGACCCCGGCTCAAAGGTCAAGGTTCCTGAGAATGACAACCAAGGCCGACCCAAGGCATACCCCTATACACATCTGTTTCTTTAAAAGCTGAACCATCTCAAAAGGGTAGACTGGGTGGCACACCGTGCGTGACACAATATTTGCATTCTTATTGTTTAATTTTTTATTTTTTATTACACTGTTTTCTTTGAGAGAGTTGCAAGTGTGAAGGGCGGGTAACAGGGGGACAGGGAGATGAGTGGGATTGGGGTGCATGATATGAAATTCACAAAGAATCAATAAAAAGTTAAACAAACAAAAAAAGGTGGGGCTGGTGAGGTGGCTCAGAGGTTAAGAGCCTGGCCACTCTTCCAGAGGTCCTGAGTTCAATTCCCAGCAACCACATGGTGGCTCCCAACCATCTATAATGAGATCTGATGCCCTCTTTCTGGCATGCAGGCATGCATACAGGAGGAACGCTGTATACATAATAAATAAATAAATCTTTAAAAAATGCAAAAGCACTAATTTTTTTTTAAAAAAAAAAAGGTGAGTCATTTTATGGGCTCAGTGGAAGTCATGCTGGGGGATGTGCTAATCTCACACCAATACTGGAAGAGAATCAGCGGGCGGGGGTGGGGTGGGGTGGGGTGGGGTGGGGGGTGCACTAGGAGTTAAAGAAGGACAAGGTAACAAGCTATGCCTGCTTACAGATGAACTGAGAACTCAGGCTCTGGGTGGGAGGTGAAAGGACAAACTATTTCAGCTCTGCAGTATGTTTTTAAATCCCTACTTAGGTTCTTGGTGCAAAAGTCAAATCTGACATAGAAAAGAAATACAAGTCTTTAAGGAAAAAAACTAATGACAGAAACCAGACAAACATGCCTTGTTTTTAATATGAAGCACCACAAAGAAGTTGCAATGCAGACTAAATTGAATGACAAAACAGGTTCATTCTTCACACATTATGAACATTTCCTTACTTTCCATCAAAAACGGGAAAGTCAGTGACAGCCTCTCAATGATCTTGACTAAGGATAAGGAGCACAGCCTCACACAAACCAGCCAGAGCAGACATGGCTGCCTGTGCCCGAATCCCCAGAAACAGGGTGACAGTCACTTGGTAATTAATGGGGCCAACTGAACCAGCAAGAGGAGATTGCCAGTTGTCTTAACTCAAGTCACAGGGACCATGTAGATTATTTTATTTTTTTAATTAATAGTAGTTTTATTGCCTCTTAAATTTACATTTCTCAATTCTTTCTATTTAATGTTCTAATCAGGAAACAGAGCATGGACATCAGAACATCCTGATTTTAAATAAGGCACATCAAAGGAATAGCCATGCATGAGTGGAAACACCTCTGTGGAGGTCTGAGGGAGAAGAATCTTCTCAGATTTTCTTTCTGAAGCCATGAGCAATGCAGGTTAATTCCTGACATGCTCCCTGGTAGAAAAATGTCTACAGCAGTCATTCGAAAGTAATTCTTGGGGAATCAGGAGACACAAGATCTTGTTATGTAGCCCAGGCTGGCCTAAAACTAGAAGCAATTCTTCTGCCTCAGCCTCCTTAGTGCTGGGATTACAGGTATGTCCAGTTTACAAGTGTTTTTTTTTTTTTTTAATTATCAAATTTTTTCTTACCTCCTGTTTAAAATTTCACATTTTATTGCATTTTGGCCAAAGGAAGCCATCTTTTTTATTTTCTATTGTAGCAATATATCCAGTTTTAGCATTAGACTTCTGCCAAACTTACTACAGTTATGTAAACAATATTTCAAAGGTGTACAGAAATGTAGAAAGGATGCTAAGAACCGGAGCGTAGCTGGGCGGTGGTAGTACACACCTTTAATTCCAGCACTTGGAAGGCAGAGCCAGGCAGATCTCTGAGTTCAAGGCCAGCCTGGTCTACAGACAGAGTTCCAAGACAGCCAGGGCTACACAGAGAAACCCTGTCTCAGGGGGAAAAAAAGAAGAAGAAAAAGAGGAGGAGGAGGAGGAGGAGGAGGAGGAGGAGGAGGAGGAGGAGGAGGAGGAGGAGGAGGAGGAAGAGGAGGAGGAAGAGAGAGGAAGAGGAAGAGAAGGACCCTGAGTATGTACAGTCGGAAGGAAGTATCTTCGCTGGCAAAGGCTGATCTCTACACACAGCGACTCAGTCAGCAGTGGCATCCTTTTCTAAGCTCCCTGGGGCCCCGTTTCACTGTAGTAAGAAATAGTAAGTACAGTACATTCTTACCAATGACAAAATGAGCCATCACTAAACTAAGCCAGGCACCAAAAGTTATTTACATTTCCTTTTGTTGTTGTTTTCAATTGTGTGTCTTTGTGTGGACTTATGCAGGTGAGTTCAGCACCTCTGGGGGCCAGAAGAGGGTATCAGATGCCCTGGAGTTGGAGTCACAGGCAGCTCTGAGCTGTGCTATATGAGCTGGGAATTGAACTCACGTCCTCTAGAAGAGTAGAACTCGTTCTTAACCATGTGCCATCTCTCCTACTTCTCTGTTTTCAATGGACCATGGAGAGTATTAGAAAAGCCACAGTGACACCTTTATAAAGTTGTCACCTACTTTACATGCTCTAATACCCAGCCTGATGTCCACTTCTGCACAGCACCCCAGTGGACCTGTCTATTGTGAAATCCCCAACAAACCTGTAAGTTAACCCTCCATGCTCGCCTCTCACTGAGGGGGAGGGTCTCCATTTCCTCCTGCTTCCTCATAGCACTTCATGGAGGTTTCCCTCCCACATTTCTGTCCCTCCTTCACACTGACGGAGAAATGGCTGTGTGATCTACTCTACAGTCAGCAGAAGCTTTGCAAAGAAAAAGGCTCAGGGAGAATGAGACAGCCAATGAGCCCAAGCTATCAAACAAAGGTGTCAGCACGACGGAGCAGCCTGGAGAAGGGGGTCAGGCAGTGGACACTGTGAGGGACCATGTGTTCCCTCAACACTAGGCCCCTCTTGCCCACTCCACCTCCAGGGGCCACAGTGAATCCAACAACACCTTCCCCTGCAGGTTCTAGGAAGAAAACGGCACGAGCTTCCTAAACAGAAGCTGTTCAAACAGCCTGAAAGCTACAAATCTGAAACAGACGGAGAAAAGGTACCGCAAAGAGATGAACTTATTCTTTAGTCTTCCTTTCTGCCAACTACTGAAGGTATGCTAACGAAGGAGGAAGAAAATAACTCACCTTGAGCAGCCATGTGAGAACGGAGTCCCGATAAGGAACAAATTTATTTTTGTTTTTACCAGCACCCTGATCGGCTAGGGCCGAGATAACCAGACCCAAGGTTGTGAGGGACCTGCATGGAACAAAAACCACAATTATCTAAACCAAAACATATCAAATGTCACATTAGTCACAAGGATGGACCGCAAGGTGCCCTGGAGCCTGCATGTGAGGAGCACTGTGGTCAGCACTTTGCTTCTGATCTGAAGACTGAGCTCCTAAGGACTCCTGTCCATCTGCTACTTGAAGCAATAAAAATGCTTAACACTATTTGTCTTTCATTTTTGCAGATAAAATATATGAACTGTAAAACCTCAGGTCAAAATAATAATATAAACAACAGACATCTTCAAGAAGAATACCCAAGGTAAAATAGTTAATTAACTATTGCTATAGTGCTAACAAGCTGACATCTGCACAAGTCAGTCAGATCCCAGTCCTGGAGAAGTGTTCCACAGCCCCCATTTGCGGTCTGACTCCTGGCTCTGGGAACCCTGAGCAGAGGGAAGAATTGAACCCATGAAGAGGTAATGTTTTAGCCTGAGGGAGAACCATATATGTGATACAGCTGGCAAGTGAAGCATTATTTCATAAAATCTTGCTTCTGACACTTTAACAAACACAACAGCAGACATAAAGGGACAGCCCAATGTGGCTGGTACTCACTCAGAGATGGATGGTCACTGGTTTTGTCTACAATATAGGCCAGTGGTTCTCAAGTGGAGGATGACTATGCTCCATGGTAACAGTAAGTCACAGAAAGAGACTGGGTTGCCATAACTGGGGGGCCAGTGGGTACTAACATCACTTGGCAAGTGGATGCCAGGAATTCTATCAAACATCCCACAAAGCACAGCATCCTCCACCCGAAAGGACAAGGACTCATCTAAGCCCCAGTGTCAATAGGGCCATTGTTAAGAAGCCCTGACTTGACTGAGGACTACGCTCCTCAGTTCCATCAAACAACTCCACAGATGAGAAAATGAGCCTGGGCTCATGGGAAACGCTAGAAAAACAAATCCAAACTGCTTATTCATCACTGCCTCAATCGTTCCAGAATCATCTTACTCCAATACCCAATGTTCCCCTGTTTTCCTATCAACTCCATAAAGCAATTCAAGAATGTGATGCTGGAGAGCTTACTTGTTGATGTTGCTGCCCTCCTTCAGCCTGTCGCCCGCAGCTCCAGTTTTCGTGGCTCGTTCACTGCCAGCTAAATCCACTAAGCTTAGCTTGCCCACTTTCTCTCCAGATGTCTGCAAAGAAAATCGACACATGCTAGCAAATGGCTAATGAACACTGAAAACAGGCAGACTCCTTTGAATGGCTTATCGTCTCGAGCCTTTCCTAAAGTTATCTGTCCTTACTGCAAAACCACTTCGTGCTGCTCCTCAACCATGCAGAAAAACACCACCCAGCACAAAACCTAGCGCAAACTGACAGAATTCGCTAACCCAGTTGTTAGCAAACAAGGAAGCTGAGGACCTCAGGAAAAATGCTTCAAAATGGGACATTTTGGAGAGATTGGTAAAATTTTCAGAGATGTAAACAAAAGTGCTTTTAAGATCAAAAGATTAATGATTTGAGACTATACTTGAAATTTCATAAATATTAGCCAGTAATCTGGAGACAAAATAGTCACATTTCTTGGTTAATATTTAAAAAAAAATCTGACTTTAGCCGGGCAGTGGTGGCGCACGCCTTTAATCCCAGCACTCGGGAGGCAGAGCCAGGTGGATCTCTGTGAGTTCGAGGCCAGCCTGGTCTACAGAGCGAGATCCAGGAAAGGCGCAAAGCTACACAGAGAAACCCTGTCTCGAAAAACCAAAAAAAAAAAAAAATCTGACTTTTGTGTAACAGAATTGTTCAAAAAGTCAAAAACATTTTCTAAACATTCTCTCCTTGAAGCTGATCAGCTTTAGTTTTCTGCAATCGGCTGGGACAGTGATGTTTTCCTCCACCAGATCACAAACATGTGACAAGTTTTCTGTTCCACCTCGTCATCAAAACAGAAACATGAGACAGCAATGTCAGAAGCTGCAGATTCGACCATTTTGAAAAGTTCCCTTTAAAATCTGTGTGATCTTCGTGCTGGGAATGTAGCTCGGTGGCAGAATGCTTATCTAACATGCAGAAGGCCTTGGGTTCTGTTCTCAGCACTGCAAAAAATACATTTATAGAGTTCCATAAAATAAACATAACGAAAGAATATTTTGCTTCCCAAATCAAAAATACTTTTAAGAAAAAATAGTCTTCAGTATGGTATTTACTTTGTTTTGCTTTACTCTAAAAAAGGAAATCGAAAACAAAGGACTTTTTGTTTTTAACATTGATCTTGATGTGATGGAGGAAAAAAAGTGATTTTTCAGCAAAGGAAAACACTGCCAACATGGAGCACCTTGCCAGGAGACTCTTTTGGTTTCCAATATTCGAAACTGAGGTCCTGAGGGATAGACACTGTGATCAATCTTCACAAGAAAAGAGAGAACAAAGGGAGTGAGTTATCAAAGATGTTCCCAATATGCAGAGGCCCAGAAATCTTCACAAGGTTCCAGACAAATGCTCCAAGGGCGCCCTACCCAGTCTGATGATGTTATGTCATGCTTCCCCAATGCATGCTGCAGCAGGTATCCCCAGCAAGGCACCTGCTGCAATCAGCCATGGGGTATAAATGCACTGCTGCTGTGGCAGGACCAGGTCACCGCTCTTTCTGGAGAGGAAGGGAACCAGGTCTAGTCCAGGACTCCCTTACAGCCAAGCCTCAGGATATGACTCAAGTTCTTTCAGACCCTCTTGCTAAAGACTGGAAAGCAGAAGTCAAGTGTCTTCCCTGGCTTTTTTTCTACCATTAGGCAGGTCATGAAATCTGAGTTTTCCAGGATGTTTCTACATCTTCCAGGGTACTAAGAGGCAGCTGCACTGACAGAAGCAATTTCTTTACTTCTGATTGCAGCTATGGGTGTCCCTTGTGGTTTTAGGGGTGACTCCTGGAGCTGCTGTAGACCCCAGCCCTCTTGAGGTGTTCCAACAGCACTGCAGCTTCCTTACAGCAGCGTCTGCTCTAGTCGGGACCGACAGTCTGGACTAGGCCTTCCACTCAGCTAACCTCAAGAGAACAGGCTCAGCCGTGATCCCTTCAGAAGCCGCTTACCCCAGACTTCACATCATACAGAGTGTGCGTCAGGGTGATTTTGAAGACTGCGTGGGACCGGCTGCTCTCTTCATTCATGTTGGTGGCGGCAACTGTCCGAGACTTGTTGCCCTCGGACATCAGGGACTCAATATCCTAAGTGGAAACAGGTTACAGGCACAGGTTTTGTTATTTGTGAATAAGCATGACCACTCTCCCACACTATCATAAGCACCCAAGTTTTTAGAGGTTACATTTTGTTTTTCGGCAAGAGTACAATTAGCCCATACTGTTTCTGAGAAACAACTAAAGCACATTATTTACGGTAGACACAGAAGCAAATGGCAGCTTTGATATAGAAAAGTTTACAAGTTAGAGTCCCTCAACCCATAGTTGGGCTCTTACAAGGTAGCCCAGGCTAGTCTCAAAGTTGTGATCCTCCTGCCTCTGCTTCCACAGTACCATATCACAGATGTGCCATGCACAACATTAGAAACAATACTTTTGAGTGACATGAAATTCTGATATTCACCTACTCCAGAAATTAAAAAAAAACTAAGTACATTTAATTATAAAAGCAATACGAATTTATTTTATTTAAACAAATTATCTAAAAAGCAAAAAATAAAAAAGATTTTAACCTTTCACCTAAACACATTAAGTATATATTTGATAGTACTGCTTTAAAAAATTAGCATAAAGCCAGGAATACTAGAAAAACTGCTATGGATTTGGGGTGGGGGGCAGTTCTGGGAGTTGAACCCAAGGCCTCAAACATGTTACACAAATGCTCTCCCACTGAGCTATCTCTAGCTCTATTTTTATGTTTTTGAGACAGGACTTAAATAAGTTACTCAGGCCTTGAACCGTCCATCCTACTACTGCTGCGGCCTCCTAAAGAGCTGGGGTTACAGGACTGTGCCAGCAGGGCTGGCTCAACTTGTCCAAATGTTACAAGCTCTGGGGCCAGACCTGGTGGTACAACCCTTTAATCTCAGCACTCAGGAAGCAAAGCAAGTGGATCTCTGGGAATGTGAGGCCATCCGGGAGTTCCAGGTCATCCAGGATGACACAGTAAGTGAGACCCTGTCTTTCCCTCGCTCCCAAAAGCCACAAGCTCTGAAACAGTGCCTAAAGCAATCTGACCTTAGCTTCATTAATTACAACACAATTATCATCTTCTGGGCTGAGAATGGAGCCCACAAGCAATGAGCTTGCTTAGCCTGACAAGGTCCTGGGTCTAACCCCTGGCATCACATGAATAAATGAATAATGAATAAATACACACACATAGCAAAGTCATCTACAAGGATATGTGAAATGAGGAATCAGAGATGGAGTATCTGAAAATGCTACCCAGCTGCCTCTCACCACCCAGTGTTCTTTCCAGTGAAGGAGCCCTCTCTTCCTCTAAGTCTGCTGTGGCAGAATCAAGAGGCTGCATTTCCCAGATGTCTTTGCAGCCCAGGCTGGCCACATGATTAACTAAAGTGTAACACAGACCATCTGGGTGATCCTCCTTAATGGAAGTAGGCATGCCATCATAGCTCTGTTGTAAGAGGCACTAGGAGAATCTGGGCATTATAGCATCTCTGTGGAGTGGGGAAGGACCTGAGGTCCCTACCAACAGCTTGGAGCCACGACACCAGCCTCAGAGTACCTATTTCAGACTTGGTTTTTTTTTTTTTTTTTTACAGGAAGGTATTGTTTAAATCACTGCTTATTCTTGATTCATTCAGTCACATGTATATTAAAAGCATCTACCATATGCCAGGTACTTCCTAGACACTAAGGATACATAACAAGAGAACATGGACATCTACAAAGAAACATTACTAAAATCCTGTTATGTTTTTATGATGAATATATACTTCAACACAATCTTAAACTGCCAAACATATATGAAAAATTTCATGTCATACAATTACACTTCTACTGTATAAATCAAAAAGAATGCTATTTAGTAAAAAATTTCAACACAATAAATACTCTCAAAGTAAATCATTAGCTGCAAAAATACCACCACAGGCAAAACATTTTCCAGAACTTCCCAAGCCCATTCTGGATCCATTAGCTCTGACAACCCAGGGGCTCCATCATATTTAGTTGACATTTACTGACTAGTCTTCATCTTGCTTTGAAGTTTTTTGCAGAAAGTGAGTTACTAAATAATGGTATTGTGAATTTAATTTTAAAAATATAACCCAGGGCTGAAGAGAAGGTTCCAAAAAACCAAGTTCAATTCCTAGCACCCACATAACAGCTCACAAAACTGTTTGAAACTCTAGCTCCAGGGGATCCAATGCCCTCTTCTGGCATCTGAGGCACCAGGCACACACGTGGTGCACAGACACACATGCAGGCAAACACTCATGCACATAAGATAAACATAATGAAAGCTTTAGAAAATAAAGGTATGCAACAAGCCAAAATGACAGTCAACTGAAGCAGCTTCTGTGGAGAACGCTGTTACCTTGTAGCTCGTGACAGCCAGTTTAGAAAGTCCATCCACATAGGGTCCCAACACACTGTGCTCTCTCACCTTCAGGGTCTGGCGGCTTCTGTTCACGACAGAGACACGAGGATCCATTAGTGACTGCCTTTAGAAGGACTCAACTTGCTTCACAGAAACGTACACTTCCTTCAAGAAAGAACCCCTAAAAGAGAAGAGCTGCGGCTGGACCGCTCAAGGATTTAAACCTAACTTTACAACCCTTGCTGGGAGGAAAAACTGGATAATGTGGTCAAATACCACACGGCTCAAAAGGGTAAGCGTGGGAAGTCTATTTACTACCACAAAGAATGCACAGTCGAATAAATACCAACATCTCCTTGTCAGATCTCAGAGCCGGCCCCAAGAGAGAAGCTCTGTAAGTGTTAACCGCACAAGAAAGACAAACCCCAGGCCCAGCTCGGCCGTGAACAAAGAAACGAAGACAACAAACAGCTCTCACAGTCATTTAAAGACACAATGCTGAGCTTATCTACGGTTCTTCTAACAAGGGGGGCCCGCACACTTTATCATGCTGACACACTAGAGGAAAGGGGGTGAAGCATGATCATTCCAATAAATGCACAAGAGATTCAATAAAACAAGAAGTAAACGTTCACTAGTTTCTAAAACAAACCTCCCAGCATGCTTGCAGCTGTGGCACTCTCAATGCTTTAAGCAAAATACAAGGAACATCTGTCCAGATGCCAGCAAAAGGGCACCAAGTTTCTGTAAGGAGGGGCGGAGCCTGAGACCCACAAACAGCATGGTGACTATGGTCAGTCATCATGTAAATCGTAATTCAAAATTGCTGGGGGTGGGTTTCACACCACACCAAAAAAAAAGAAAGAAAAATGACAACTGAGGTAACAGATAAATTAATTAGATTGAGGAAGCCATTTCATAGTGTCTACATATCCCAAAAGATCCCACTGTACTCTATAGATGAAAGTACTGTTTCTCAATTAAAATTATTTTTAAAGAGTATTTACTAATAGTGAAATCCCAGATGATTATGTTTTGTTTTTGTTTGTTTATCTGTATTATGTGTTCATTTGGCCACCGAAAGATATTGCTTTGTTTTGTTTTCAAAATAAATGATGAGTTCAAATGCTTAAACTCCTGTGGTAGTTTTTGGTGCCTACAACGTAAGGTCTATGCTCCTCAGTCTACACCCACATTCCTGTATAATCTGTTCCTGTCTGCTGTCTTGTCTCAATCAGCTCAGTCTTACCATGGATTAGAAGAGCAAAAATGCCTTGTATTAACAATAGTTTTGGGGTCTATGGTTCCTAGTACAATGCCTGGTACCTAAGAGTCAGTCAGAGAATTAACACACTTGGCTAACAAAGTAAAAACGGGACTAAGGTGCCAACAAGGCCTTGCAAGGTATAGGCCACAGGGCCTGGGGACAGAGTACAGGTAACAGAGGGGCCTGGAGACAGTACAGGTAACAGCAGGGCCTAGGGACAGTACAGGTAACAGCAGGGCCTAGGGACAGTACAGGTAACAAAGAACAGCAGCGGGGGAGAACAGAAGGAATGGTGGTGAACACACAGGCTGAGATCCCAGGGAACCTGGAACCACAGCCACTTCATCCACCATATGGGAAGCGAACAGAGGTACTAAGGGAGTGGGGGAACCAGGAAACGGCTTGGCCATCTAAAAGTTTTACTGTCTTTCAGTATATGGGTCACAGCATAGTATTTCCTAATGATTCAGAATCTTCTAGCACCCTACATTCAACTTACAATGTTACATGAATACAGATAAATCCAAGTGAGTTCAGTTAGACACAGCACAAGATGTGGACTGCTGCTCACCTCTTACACAAGGACATGGTCTGGGTTTAACTTTTAGCCTTTTCCTTTTCCTTTTTGTTTCTATGTCTATGTGTATGGATGTGGGTGGGTATATGTGCATGTTCATTTGTGTGTAGGCGTGTGTGTGAACAGGTGTGTGCCTATGGAGGCGAGAGGTCCACCTCAGGTGTCATTCTTTGGATGCTCTCTACCTTATTTTTTGAGAGCAGGTCTCTCACTAGGACCTGGAACTTGATGATTAGCTAGGCCAGTGGCCTGTTAGCCTCAGGGATATGCCTGTTTCTGCCTCCTCAATACTGGATTACAAGCACATACCATCACACATGGATTTCTTTTTAAACATGGGTTCTAGGGATCCAGTTCAGGTTCCCATACTTTCACAGCAACCACTTTATGAACTAAGCTGTCCCCTCAGCACTAACCCCCTCCTCCCCTTTTTATATGTATGGGTATTGTGTCAGCACCTGTATCTGTTAACCATGTGAATGCCTGGTGTTCACAGAGGCCAGAAGAGGACACTGGGTTCCCTGGATCTGGAGTTACAGATGATGTGAGCCACCATGTGGGTACTGGGAATTGAACTCATGTTCTTTGAAAGAGCAACTCGTACTTTTAACCATTAAGCCATCTCTCCAGCCTTCCTGTCCCCTTTTTCTTGAAGACAATATATATATTATATTATGCCTCAAGCAAAACAACAGGATTACATTATTATACATGATAGTCACTGAATTAATAAAATCAGTACTTGAATTTTAAAAATGAAGTTTTCTCAAATACTCTGATTAAAATGAAATCTGATTTTAGACTTTTAATCCAATTACTTTGACTTTTCAGAAACAGAAATGTTTGTAGGTCTGGAGAGATGGCTTAGCTATTAAGAGTATTGCTGTTCTTGCAGACAGATGGAGTTCAACTCTCAACACAGACATTAGACTGCTCACTACTTGTAACTCCAACTCCAGGGGATCCCATACCCTCTTCTGATTTCCACAGGCACTGCACATGTGCATACAAACACACACACACACACATATATACATAAATAAAAGTTTTTACATTAAGAAAAAGGAAACACTTTTTTTAAATCTTCAAGGAACTTTCATAGAAAAAAAAACATAGCCATCACATGCTGAGCCCTTTCTGTATGTCAGAAGTCCTGAGACCTTAGGTATATCACACTTTGAATCTTCACAACAGCCCTCTGAGATGCTGTGGGATACTGTGTGATAACACCAATCATTCCCTGTGTAGTTCACCTAGGAAGTGTTAGGAACTTGCTCAACCAGTAACAAGAGGCTAGATCCTGAGCTGTGTGACTCCAAAGCCCATGTGCTGAGCACTAAGCCACATGCAAAACAAACAAGAAACCAATAAGGACTAAACACATCTGACTGGCAAGCTTCAAGGCAGTCCACTAGGGCTACAAAACACAGGGATGAAGAGCTAGAAGCCAGCTAGTGGACTGCTCCTGGGACAAGTAGGTCTGAGCTAGATCTCAAAGAAACCGGCCATCTTCAGAGAGGCCAAAGTTCAAGAAAAGCATGCAGGCAGAATCAAAAGTGCACAGGGAGCAAACTGTGAGTGCCTGAGCCATGGCCGCCCATCTCTGCCTCCTTCTGTGACTTCTGGCTTCTACACACCCTACCCTCCAGCTGCACTGCATCTTTATCATCCTGGAAGTGGGTGATGTCCATCCACTTCCACAAGGCTGTGCCTAGACATGAATGGTTCCACCTCACTTCTCAGTGGACAACTCCTACTCAGCATATAAACCATCAAGCACCTCTGTGGAATCCTCTCTCGGCTCTGGGAAGGGCCCCCCTTCCCTTTTTGCACTCTATTTTGTGTTAACATCCCTCACCAGCAAAAAGCAGACTGCATGCCACTCTAACTTGTCTGCAAAACTCATTCTTTCCATACTATGGGCTCTTCCTCTGAACTGCATGGTGCCTGGCAGATAAGAATGAAGTCATAAACAATGGGTAGGTGAGGTATGGACAGACAATCAAGTGTCAACTCAGACTCCAGCCTGAAGATCATTATCAGCCAAAGAAAGATGGCTGTGAGGTACTGAGATCCATTTGCTCTTGACTGAGCCTCACTGGATTCTGTCGCTCACATCCTCTTTCCTGGATCACTTTCCTCATCCAAACATAACTCACCATCTGATTGATCCTGGGCTGGAAGCCCTTCCCACACGGCTCTCTGACATGAGCCAGCAACAGCCTCAGCCACTGCTGCCCTCGCCTCTTCCCCCACCAACACGGCAGTGCACAGGCTCCTCGGCTACCTCTCGCTCTCCTCATTTGGCTTCACGTGGCCACAGGGTAAGCAAAGTGATTCTGAGGGCGTCCTTACGCTCTGAAGCAGTTCTCTTTCAAAGTCAACCCCATGAAATCAGGGGCATTTCCTACCTTCTTGGGGGTACGTGGCTTTCAGATGAACTACCCTAAGATCAGCTCCAGTTTACTCCCCCCTCACTTCACATCGAAACCAACCACAGAAATCCACCAGAAATTTATTGCCTTAAAAAAAAAAGCTAAGTCACTGAAGGCCGCAGTCACACTCATTTTAAATGACTGCCTCTTGCCACCTCTGTTTTGTCTGTGGCTTTGGGTGAGGAGAGAAGGAGAGGCAGCGAGGCACACGTACAGACCTGCATCATCACTCGGCCTGCTCTAACGACCCAGAACTGGCTGTGGGAAGCTGATCCGTGTAAGCATAAATCACAAACAGCATGGCCAGATCACTCTCCACCACAGCTCAATTACAGCCTTCTCTAAAGCTAATCTATTCTGTCTGTTTCAAGAAAGCCACAGCACTCAAGACTCCAAGTCTTTTACCCTTTGGGGTCAAGAAGGTCTCGGACTTTTTCATTATAAATCTCCATGTAGGACACCTCGACTTTAAAGCTCTGCTCTTCATTTTCCTCCTTCTGGGTTCGTTCGAAGAGTCCACTGCAGAGTCTGGGGATTAGTCCAGGTTGGTCGGCTGTGCCCATCATGGTATAAGACTTTCCAGACCCTGAAAACGAAAAGAAGCCATCACTACCTCTTGGAGAAGTTTAAAGGCATTTAACCCTATTTCTACTACTTATAATAAATTTATAGGATTTAGCAAAATGCACAAAATATAGTAAATATACATATACATGAAAAGAATAAGAAATGCGATCAAGCATAGTGAGAATGGAACATACAGACGTTTCTATTACTTGTGTAAACAGAAGTAAACTGGCCTAGAAAAAAAAAAAAAAAAAAAAAAAAAAACCTAGCCAGGCATGATGGCCCATACCTCTAATCCAGCACTCAGGAGGCAGAGGATGAGGATCAGGAGTTCAAAGCCAACCTCCAATACTTGACACCCTGTCTAAAAAAGACAAGATAGACAGACAGACCCTCCTTGAATAATCTTCATATTTAAAAAAAATTATCTAAAATATAGCAAGGTTTTCTAAGTAAGCTAGGGATCATCTAAGCACTACTGTTCCCATAGATATTCCTAACTGCTGAATCAAAGCACAAAAGACACGGTGCCAGCAGGCTTACTGGCCTCCTGTAGCAGTACCCTGAACAAACAATAATCTTCCTCTAATGGACAAGCACTTGATCAACTGTAACAGAAATACATACTCACTAAAGAAGACTCAAAACCCTGTTGTGACAGTACACACCTTTAATACCAGCACCAGAGGCTGAGGCAGGAGGATAGCAAGATCAAAGCCAGGCTGGTTACTCCCATCAAAAGAAAGAAGTAAAGGAAGGAAGGAAGGACAGAAGCACAGACAGACCAGAAAACACAGACAAATGAAAAGGGGAAAGATTAAATCACCTCAGTCCTACCACCCAGAACCAACACATGACACTTAGGTGCAATCTGCCCCTCCCGGTACCAAACGGCTTTGTGACATTTGTGTGCTTTCGACCTCACAAGCTGCTGCTCTGTCACCTGTCAAAACACCTAAAACTAACGCTCTACTTCTGACATTCCAGGTCCTTCCTAAAGTGAGCACAGATAATTAATTCATCATGCCAATCCTACGGAAGGGTCTAAAGTGTAAACATTTTATAAAGAGGAAAGGATGAGGCAGAAAAGGCCCTTCTGGTGAGAGGCAGGGCAAGAGGGAAACTGGCCCTGCCTGGCTCAGAGTTTCTGTTCTTTTGGACACAGCACATGATGTCCAAACCCACCAAAAACATTGTTCTATGAAGAGCAATGTCCAGTTGGACAGGTCACATGATGAACTGTTTTATATTTTTGGTTGTGAGCCTAGCCTTTAACGGCTGAGCCATCTCTCCAGCCCGATGAACTGTTTTAAAAGCAACAAGTTTCACTTTAAATTGGTTTTCTTTCTTTAATTACAAAGGATAGAAGCCTAAAGTCCTTACCAGTCATGACCAGTAAGATATTAACAAGTGTGTTCTTTTAAAAATATATTTTCTTTTAATTTTTACTTTATGTGTATGGGTGTTTTACCCACATGTCTGTGCACCATTTGCATGCCTGGGGCCAGCAGAGGCCAGAAGAAGGTATCAGGTCCCCTGGAACTGGAGTTACAGATGACTGTGAGTCACCATGTAGGTGCTGGGAATCGATCCCAGGTTCTCTGGAAAAGCAACAAGTGTTCTGAATCACTGAGCCAACTCTACTGCACCACAAGTGGGTTCTTTCTTTGTGGTATTCTCTCTATTATGATCCTTAAAGAACTACAATATACAGACACAGCCAATAATAAACTCAATGGTTGTAGCTCTGCAAATTATTAAGAAGAAGGAAATGGGAAGAGGGGGAAAATCAATAAAGAAAAGGGATTTTAATCCTATTTTTATTGTACTGTTTTAGAAACATGCCACTGCCTAATTTAATCACCTGTGAGACAAACTAACACAGGATAAGGAAACACAAGATAAGAAAGCACCGCAGTAAACATGGCTTCATCTTCATGGAAGGATGCTTAAATGTGGAGTAGGTGTTAGTTCCTATTACCTGTCTGCCCATAGGCAAAGATACAGGCATTGTAGCCATCAAATGCGTTCTGAAGGATGTTCTCTCCAAGGCACTTGAAAACATCATCTTGACCTAAAGGATGAGAAAATGGTATTTTAAAGGCTAAGAACACATGAACAAATAAGAAATCAAACAAAACAAAACAATCCGCTCATTTATCTGCTGTGGGATGTTCTGTATGGCAAATGTGTTGCTCTGATTGGTTAGTAAATAAAACACTGATTGGCCAGTAGTCAGGAAGGAGGAAGTATAGGTGGGACAAGGAGGAGAATAATTCTGGGAAGTGGAAGACTGAGTCAGAGACACTGCCAGCCGCCACTATGACAAACAGCATGTGAAGATGCCGGTAAGCCACGAGCCACGTGGCAAGGTATAGATTAATGGAAATGGATTAATTTAAGATATAAGAACAGTTAGCAAGAAGCCTGCCACGGCCATACAGTTTATAAGCAATAGAAGTCTCTGTGTTTACTTGGTCAGGTCTGAGTGGCTGTGGGACTGGCGGGTGAGAGAGATTTGTCCTGACTGTGGGCCAGGCAGGAAAACTCAAGCTACATTTATCCCTGAACAAGATTTTTAAGCTTGAAAGCTTCTGTCCCACAGGTTATGTCTAGTTGGAGTGGGAAGAAGAGTCAGTAAAGGGTTCCCTGTAACATATACTTGAACAAGGCCACCCAAATCAATCCATGAAATGCAGAGAGCTCAAGAGCTGCTTATTTTACAGCCCACGACTAAGATTCGATAATCTCTATTTAATGTATGTGTGTGTCACGTGTGTACACGTGTTGCCACCTGTGTGGAGACCAGAGGACAGCTGGTAGCAGTTGGTTCTCTCTTTCCACTGTGTGGGTCCTGGAGATTGAACTCAGATCATCAGGCTTGGTACAAGCACCTTGACCACCTGAGCTGTCTCACTGGCCCTGAACATCTGAAATTTAAACTTAGGGCCTAGACTTAGTGCCTGAATTCATACACACCATACTTTCATTCAAAGTGTACTAGAGTTCAGAAAAATCATGCACGTCAACTCCCTTCTTTCCTTTCCCTCATGAAAATTTCAGGTTACATGACTTACAGTTCACAATAGTTAGAATAGGGAGTGAGATCCTGGAAACGGGCAGGAGAGATTGTTCCTAAGTTAAAAGCATTTGCTGTTCTTGCAGAGGACCTAGGTTCAATTCTCAGCACCCACACAGCAGCTCACAACCATCTATAACCCTAGTTCCAGGGATCCAACACCCTCTTCTAGCTAGCTTCCATGGGCATCAGGCACATATGTGGCACACATACATGCAGGCAAAACAATCATGCACATAAAATACTGGAAGAACCAGATGCTGCTGTGTCTAGCAAAAGTGTTCCATCCACTTCACTTTCTAGTCGATTCGGTTGTCACACTTCTGAATTGGGGTGATCCTTGGAGTCACCACTAGGCCAATGAGACCAAAGGGACCTTAATTGTTTTTTGTTAACCATGATCTTTCTTATAACAGAAGCCAATAAAATATGTTCAATGTGTAAAAGCACTGCTTAGAAACATTCGACCTTGACAGTCAGGGTGCAAGGAACAAAGGGCTGTCACACAATCCTAAACTTGTTGAGAAATGGGGATGAGACAGTTATCTTCGGGGAGGTAGTAGAACAGGGCAAAAGGTACAGAGGAAAGTCCGACAGATGGTCCTGCAGGCCTGGAGAATTAGTGAGCACCACAGAGCTTTTAAGAACTAGACCTAGGGCTACCATGTGGGGCTCCTCCCCCCTTATACTAGGTCCCTCTAGACCACATCACTAACATTATGAGGGTCTGCATGCCTATAATGTAGCTCCTGACCCCATTAGACAGATATATCTGAGATGATCTCATGAGATCCCATAGTCATAGTATTTATCATCTCACATTAAAAACATCTCACTGAAGTCTCTTGGTCCCCAGACAGTACAAAATCTTTCACAGCAAATGCTGGAAGCAGCTGCCTGGACAGTGTTTAAAAGTTACACCAAATGATACCATGGTAGTGGGTGGAAAACACAGCAAAACACCTCCACATTACTAACTGCACAGACAGTGTGCTCAGTTACCTGCATACTTCTCTCGGACGGATTCATCCATGGACCAGAAACAGTGATCATAAGCAAATATCTGTTGCGGAGGGAACATAAAGGGAGTGCATTAAGAACAAAACCTTCATATCACAATTGCCATTATAATAATGCATAGCATTGTCAACCAACTTACTAGCCAGGCCTTATGGCACAAACTTGTAACCCCATCACCTGAGAGACTAAGGCAAGAGAATAGCCAAGTTTCAGGGCAGCCTGGGCTACACTATGATCATGTTTCAGCTGCCCAATCCCTCAGACAAACACCATCACTTGATGTCAGAGAGTAGGGGTTAGTGGCATATAATCCCTTGGTGATTACACAGTGAGACAGAGCTACCTCACACGGAAAACATCTGCAATGGTAAACCAAATGGCATTATATAGGATCCCCTGGGACTGGAGTTACAGATGATTGTAAGCTACCATGTAGGTGCTGGGAACTCTGTCCTCTGCAAGAGCAGCAAATGCTCTTAACCACTGAGCTCCTGTGGGTCTTATTCTTATAGGTCCTGAGTCAGCATGGAGCCGCTTTTAACTGGACAAGTCTCTGAGGTTATAAATTTTAAAAGAAATAAATGAAGGTCTCCCATTTGCCAACTACACTTCTCCTCCAGGGGAAGCAATCTGTTACGGATGTGGGCTTCCCCTTCTAGGCTTTTGTCTGCAAAGCATTTTCTCTAAGCAGTAAGAACAGTTCACTAAATGAAACATAGCAAGTTTCTAATGCTGTGAGCACAATGTGCGCAATAGCAACGATGTGTGTGCAGCTACAAAATGAAAGTTTTCACTGTTTGGTTAGTTTTCTAAAGCAGGGTCTTACAATAATTAACTCATATTCTTAGTCATTCTCATTCTCTCTCTCTCTCTCTCTCTCTCTCTCTCTCTCTCTCTCTCTCTCTCTCTCTCTCTCTCTCTCTCTCCTCTTCTCTTCTCTTCCACTTAAAGTATCTACCCAAGTTTACCAGCACTTACCTAGCACAACTTAAATCAAAGAAAGTAAACTTCATAGAAGTTTGGGACTCTTGTTTACAGAACTGAGAACTAAGAAATAATAGTTCTTATTTACCAAAAACACTAAGTGGCTCCCTTTTCAATTTTAGCAATTTTGTAAATTACTACAAATACCTTCTAGGCCAAAGCTGCATAAAGTCAGTGATAATCACACTATCCGTGCACGCTCCATTTGCAGATACCAATTAATGAACCAACAACTGTCAAGTATGTCCTGATAACAGCTCTTTATGTAGCTATTATCTTCTCACTGTCTCTGAGCCCTCCCACTTTGTCAAACGTTGTACAGTGGACTCTGGCTTCCCCAGACTCTGTTCTCTTGGTGATGAAAAACAGTATGTTGAAGAGTTAGGAGTAAGTTTGAATGTAGGTTAGTGGTAAAGCACTTATCTAACATGCACAAGGTAGCAGGTTTGAGCTCAACAATCAAGCAGATTAATTGCACTAATTTGTGGATGTAAAAGTTGGAAGTTAGATTTGGCACAGAGCAGGCCTTCCATCTGAGTGGTTTTCATGCTTTCCATCATAAGTAGCAAATACTATACTACGGTATTTCTTGAGTTTAAGCTTTTTTGGTTTGTCTGTCTGTTTGTTTGAGACCAAGTTGGCCTCAAACTCCCAGAGATCCACACCTGCCTTTGCCTCCCAACTGCTGGGACTACAGGCGTGCAGCACCCCATACCTATCTCCATTCCTTTTTTTGATTATAAATTATTTAAGTGAACATACAAAGCAATGGGTTTCCTTTTGGCATTTGTGCCATTTCAAGCCTATGCTGTTTTAATTTTCCCCTCCCCCACTGTCTTCTCTTGTTCCTTAAATCAAAAAGGTTTCCAATAAACAGAGAAGAAATACATATTCACACTAATAAATTTTACAGAAAAATATAAAATAAAAACAGGGCTGGTGAGATGGTTCAGAGGGTAAAGGTGCTGGCCACCAAGCCTGATGACCTAGCTTGATTTCTTAGGACTCAAGTGGTGAAAGAAAAACTGATTCCCCAAAGTTGTCCTTTGACCCCTAAGTGTTTGACATAGCATGCACATGGCAGGGTAAGCATTCGAGAGTGTGCCCACACAATAAAGTAATAATTTTTTTTTTTTTTTTTTTTTTTTTTTTGGTTTTTCGAGACAGGGTTTCTCTGTGTAGCTTTGCACCTGTCCTGGAACTCACTTGGTAGCCCAGGCTGGCCTCGAACTCACAGAGATCCGCCTGCCTCTGCCTCCCGAGTGCTGGGATTAAAGGCGCGCGCCACCACCGCCCGGCTAAAGTAATAAATTTTAAAAGAAATAAATGAAGGTCTCCCATTTGCCAACTACACTTCTCCTCCAGGGGAAGCAATCTGTTACGGATGTGGGCTTCCCCTTCCAGGGTTTGTCTGCAAAGCATTTTCTCTAAGCAGTAAGAACAGTTCACTAAATGAAACATAGCAAGTTTCTAATGCTGTGAAGTAGTTCCTCACATCTTTACTGGTCTCCAGCTTCTGTTCCAATAAAAAGCAAAATTAACCCAGCACCTTTTCATAGTGAAAATGAGACAAAGTTCACAAACATAAGGAGACCAGTGTCATATTCAAGCACTGTTTAAAAGGTCACTGGGGATCCTAAAAGGCATGTCTACACATATTTCAGCAACAGTAACAGCATAGCGCTACAACTCAACCACAGGCTGTAAAACAAAAACAAGTCCAAGAATGTAGACAAACAGAATTTCCTGGAAGTTCTAAGTAACCTCAGAGACTTGTCCAGTTAAAAGTGGCTCCATGCTGACTCAGGACCTATAAGAATAAGACCCACAGGAGCTCAGTGATTAAGAGCATTTGCTGCTCTTGCAGAGGACAGAGTTCCCAGCACCTACATGGTAGCTTACAATCATCTGTAACTCCAGTCCCAGGGGATTCTAAATCTTCTCAACTCCATGAGCACCAGGTATGCACATGGTACACATACATGCATGAAGGCATAACACTCAGACATGTAAAAATAAAATAGAAATATTTTTTAAAAATTAAAGACCCCTGGAAGACAAAGAAGTCAATACTTCCACATATAAGTTGGCTAGGGGGTGAAGGGGTCTGCCACCAAGCCCGAGTTCAAACCCTGGCCACATGTGTAAGAAAAGAACCAATGCCTGAAAGTTGTCCTCTGACCTCTACACATGTGCTGTGGATGTGCAACACAGCAACACACACACACACACACACACACACACACACACACACACACACACACACTGAATTTAAAAATGTAATTAAAAAATTTAAGGGTGGTCTCAGAATTTGGCTCCAATGTGAGATGCAAGCACAGCCCCTGGAGGAATCTGGAGCCCAACATCAGGGTCCCATCAGGACCCCATGGGTCTGGCAAAGCACCCCATTGCCTAGGAGCAAGATGAGTTGGATTGGCCCAGAGTGAGCACAGTATGGAACAATCAGTTTCATGCTAATCTATGGCACACAAGGAATCTGTGTTGGGTTGCTAGGAGACTGGGCAGAGCTGGCCAGAGTGCACTGCTCTCCACAGCCCTCCAGCTCTGTCTGTGCCAATAAGCAGCTTTGGAATCATGAGACAGCCAAAGGCTTCTACTGCTTTTATAAACCAGCAAGGAAGAGTTTCGAGTTTTGAGAAGAAAATGCCTAGTACTTCAGGGATATGCACAGGAATCTCTATAAGCATCATGTGAAGAACTCTTACCTTTGGCTGGCTCCTGAGTTCCAGAGAGTGGTGTCGCCACAAACATGAAAGAAAGAGGACAAGTGTTAGCAAAGAAGTGTAGTTTAGGAAAGTCTTCTTGAACAGTAAAAGACAACAAATGTAAGCAAATTTGCAATAAGAAACAAAATATTAGCCAGGCACACACGCCTATAACCTATGTGCAGAGAAGCTGGAGGCAGGAGGATCAGGAGTTTAAAAGGTCAGTCTGAGCTACATAGTAAGTTCAAGATCAGATTCTGTCTCAAAGGGGAAGGGGGATGAGAAGATGAGGTAGAGAGGGAAAGTGAAAGGAAAGGGGATAAAAAAGAAAAAGAAAAGAGAGAAAATATTACTTCTGAAACCAAATAGTAAATGATAGGTAAATGAACACCAATGAGGGGAGAGAACAGATCACAACCTGTCTCTCTCCAGCAGGAAGAAGGATCTGAGCACTGGGGAGCCTTAGAGGAGGGTCTTAAAAGTCCTAATGGCTCTGCCTCTGTGTTTGTGCTCATCCTGTATACATCTTACAAATAATCCTTTTCAAAAGCTTGACTTCTGAGTCAGGGGCAGTGGCACCTCCCTGTAATCCCAGACACTAGGGAGGAGGGTAAACAAGAGGACTGTGGGTCTGATGCCAGCCTGGGTTTCATTAGTTAAATCCTGTCTCAGGCTGGAGAGATGGCTCAGTGGTTAAAAACACTGACTGCTCTTCCAGAGGATTGGGGTTCAATTACCAATACCCACATGGCAGCTCACAACTGTCTGTAACTCCAGTTCAACAGCTCAATACCCTCTTTTGGCCTCCTCAAGCACCAGGTATGGCATGTAGTGTATAGATATACATGCAGGAAAAATACCCATACAAATAAAATAATAATATTTTTAAACCCTGTCTCAACCACCATCCCCTCCAGCAGAAACTACCTGTCTTCTGATTTCACTTCTGGAACTTTCCTGAGCTTTTAAACAGCCATAGTTTATGCTCTTATCTATCCAGATTTTTTCTTTCCAGTAGACTCCTGTTGTAGCTCAGGAAAAAGGGTTACATTTAAAGGAACAATTACTTTCTTGCCAGTGAGTTCCTATCCACTGGGTCACTCAGTACATGCCCTCTTCACTTGCCAGGCACTTCAACCTCCCCTCCATCCCTCTGTCTGAAACTGCCAAGAAAATAACTAAGGCCTGAGATCCAATGAAGAACTCCCACAGACCCTTCACTCCAGATCACTAATGGTTACTCTTGAACCCGGCTGCCTTCACGTGCTCCCTCATCACAGACATAAATACACATGCACACTTCTTTTTTCCTGGACCAACTGAAAGTAGGCATGCCTTCCTCCCTGAGCACTCAAGTGCAGAATTCTAAATAACAACCATGCTCACTTAAGTTCACACAGTAAATTCAAAATCATTTAAGGATAAAACAAAGTATGTTCTTTGAGTTTTTTGTTTGTTTTAAGATGAGTTCTCACTATGCCTCCCCAGGCTAGCCTAGAACTTACTATGTAGATCCAGTTGACCTCAAACTTGCAGCACTCCTGCCTTAGGGCCACAGTAGTACTGTTGTTAAATGCAGGAACTACTCCTGACTTAAGGAAAGTCCTCCTGATTCTGGAGGGAAACAAGAATACCTGGTCCTTCTCAGAGAATCCAAACATCCAGCCTAAGCTTGAACAAATATTAAATACAAATGCCCCCACTAGTTGTCCACATGCTTTCTTGTCCCTTTGTCTCATAAGATTTTCTTCTAAAAGAAATCTGATATTTATTTGTACCAAATAACTTGAGATGAAGACAATAAAGGTCTAATAAATAGTGACAAGTATCTGGTAGATTAGGGTAACACATCCAACAGGACTAAGATCTTAAAAGAAAATCTGTTTTTCTAGACTAACAAGATATGGGGGAACTTCCTGACATAAAGCCCTAGGCTGGTGAGATGGCTCAGAAGGTAAAGGCGCTTGCCACCAAGCTGAGGACCTGAGTTTGATCCCCAGGACCCCTGTGGTGGAAGAAGAGAACCAACTCCCACAAGGCATCCCCTGACTATGGTGGTATTTTATTTGTACTGAAATGTGATTTTATTTGTATGTTAATACATAAAGTTGCCCAGGGGGTCAGAGCTATTAGAGCCATAGCAAAAACTGGGCATTGGTGGTGCATGCCTTTAATCCCAGCACTTGGTAGGCAGAGCTAGGTAGGTCTCTGTGTGGTCAAGGATACAGCCAGCATTGGAGACACACGCCTTTAATCTCAATACCATAGAAGACCTGGAGGGCTGTACAACAGACAGTGACGAGGCAGTCATGTGGTTGGTTTTACAACCAATGAGAAGGCAGAACAGAAAGTCTATATAAAGACAAACAGACAGAAAGTAGGTCTCTTTCGGAGAGGTCTCTTGGCTGAAGAGGCTAGCTGCAGCAGGCAGGTAAGGCTCTTAGCTCTGATCTCTTGGCTTTCTTCTTTGCATTGGTTCTGTGTTTCTTATTTAATAAGATGGTTGGTTACATCTACACCTGACCACCACACATGTTCCATGACATATGCACCCTCCCTCACAAGCACATAATAAATAAACGCAAAAAAACCATTTTAAAACCTTAGGATCTCTATAACACAGGTCACTGACAAATGTTACCATTGTTAGAGATATGTGTAAGCAAAGCAGATTCTCACCTGTGGACAGTGATTAAAAATGCAGCCATGTATCTGAGGTGTCTGCAGGCAAGGACACTTCACAGATATGCTAATGAGTCCAGACGTAGAGATGAGAAAATTTAAGATTCAGATAAGTTAAAGGACCAGCTAATGTAGTCCTGGGTCTTCTGAGCCCCAAATCCACCATCTTCCTCCATGCTGATCAAAATGGCTGGGATTTAAGAACCCATGAGCCACAGACTAACCAACACTCATGTAAACAGTGGCACCTGCCAATTCCCTCTATTCTGTTACCTATAACCTGGATGGTTTTTTGACAACTTGACACAAGCTAAAATTATCTAGGAAGAGGACCCTCAATTGAGAAAGGCCTCTATCAGATGGCCTGTAGTCAAGTTTGTGGGGGAATTTTCTTGATTAACGATTATGTGGAAGGGCTAAGCCCACTGTGGGTAGTACCTTCCCTGGGCAGGTGGTCTTGGATTGTGTGAGATAGCCATGAGAAGCAAGCCAGTGAGTAAGCAGCACTCCTCCATGGCTTCTGCTTCACTTCCTGCCTCCAGGTTCCTGCCTTGCTTCTGCCCTGGCTTCCCTCAGTGATGGACAACAACTATAAACTGTCAGGTAAAATAAACTCTTTCCTCCCAAGTTGCTTCTGGTCATGGTCTTTATCACAGAAAAAGAAATCTATCTAAGAAAGCATACCATAGGGCTCCCAGGTGGGACTTAGGCCAGTATTTTATTATTTAACATTTATATGAAAATTCTTGTCTTTTCTGATAACAAAAACATACATCTAGTATAATATTCCAAGCTTAAATAAAATAATTTTTAAAAAACTTTTAAAATCACTTCTTTCTAAGAGACAACCAATAAAGATCAAACTGAATATATGACTCACTGCAGAAAAATCCACAGACTCACCTGAATTCAAAGCAGCCCAATAAAAACTGAAGCAAACCAGCGAGTCAATACAGTGCTACATTTCCAGCTAGGGAGTCTGGGAGCCACAACAAAGCTCGGGTAACCTGCATGGTCACAGGACACCCCAATACATAATTACAGCTCCTTATAAAAGGAAGTAGATTAATTCATTAAACCAGACCCTGTCAACAGGGAGCTGAAATCCCATGGAGCCACAGCTCACCAATCCCAGGACCCTTGAAACCTCAGTGAGCATCATCGCTACAGATACTCCTGAAGCAAAGAAAAGCAGCCACTTCCTGACCCTTCCAAAGCGCTGGCACAAAGCATGTCAGCCATAGCCTTTACTTCCCAGCTATGCTGAATTAATTTTCTCGTTGCTTAACTTCATTTTTAAGTACTTTAAAACTTACAAAAATAGCGTAAAGAATTTCCACACAGACTTGCTCAAGCTTCCCTGCATGCTAATGACTGCATGTTAATGACCAGTTACAGTGACCAGAGTCGGGACAGATCAACATATAACCTATTCCTATTAAGTAACAGCCAGTCCTATCCAAAGTTTGCCAACTACCATCACTGGTGTACTTTTCCTGCTCCAGGTCTGTTGTCAGGATATCTTCTCCATCTCAGGCCAGATTGGCTATGATGGACACCTGGAAACACTGGCCACTTTGTCTGCAGATCATCCCTCAGACCAGTTGCCTAATGTTCCCTCATGACTCAAGTCAGCCTGTGTGCTTGGCAAGTATCAACACAAACAGCAGACGACCCTGTGCACGCATCCCACCAGGAGACATGAGATGTCCAGGACTTACTCTGCCTCGCTGACTAGGGTATGACGCTCTCCACACTCTAAGGTTACCATTCCTCCCTTTGTCCTTGTTACTCATGTAGCAGGAAAAGGCTTGGAGACCACGCAGAACCTCTCTCTCTCATCACACTTCCAACCATGAACTTCAGCATCCAGATGTAACTCTTGCCTGCAGTGACAATGTCTCCCACGTGCTGAGCAGACAGCCACAGCAGTAGAGATGAAAGTGCTAATGATCCAGGTGGATCAACGTGGAAGTTGCTGTTCTGGAAGAGGTCAGTTTGGAAAACAACACATGATGGGGCTGCAGTGGGGGCTCCTGTCTAGCATGTACAAGGCTCTGGATTCCATCGCCAGCACTGCCTAAACCCCACGTGCGAAGGCTGAGTATTTCCGGAAAGAAATTGGTATCTATGATAAACTATTATCTTACTCTTTTCTACCACTCTTGTTAAGGGGCCTATGCTCAAATAATAAATCATACCATGAAAATAAATCAAATTACACTCCTTATCTCTAGGCTGGTAAATATGAAGACATTCATTGATGATTTTTATGTATACTGATAATCTCTGGGAATGTTTCATTAATAACTTTGACAATGACAAAATAAA